AAATCCCAAAAACCAAAACCAAAACCATTAAGGCCTTTATTGGTTTTTGGCAACCAAAAACCAATAAGGGCCTTAATGGTTTTGGTTAACCAAAAAACCAACATGTACTCATACACTCGTATTTATTCATATTTCCCTTCTTTTTATTGAATTAATGTCATAATAATGATAAATGGCCATTACAAATTATTGGTTGGCTCAAAAGAAACAAAAAAAATTTTTGTTGATAAATAATTTCATTCTTATTGGTTTCTTAATGGTTTCTATTGGTTTTTCGGTTTTAACCAAACCAAAACCATTAAGTTGCTTATTGGTTTAAAACCAAAAAACTGAAACCATTAGCTTTCCAATTGGTTTGGTTTCGGTTAAAACCAAAAAACCAAAACCAAATGGACAGCCCTAGGTGGTGGTAATTCTGCAAATATTGTTGATAACATTTTATAGAAAAGAATAAATTTATTTTCATGTGTAAATGTTTTTTTTTAAGTTTTGGGATAAAATGAAATAAGAAAAGCCAACGGAAAAAAATAAAATGGGTGATTCAATCATAAAAATTTATCTCCACCCAAAATGAACGATTGGATGAGACTCGAACTAGTTGTACACATGCGTAAAATTTATCCACACTCAAAATCAACACATTGTATCAAACCGATGTTTCAACTGGACCATACCGAGCCGAATATATTACAATCTGATTCTAGTTTCACGAATTTTATAAATACTAAAGAAAAATGGTCCAAATTAACATTTGAATATGACCAAATCATACAAATATAATAATGGTGCGATTCCTCATTCTAATATATATTTTATTATTAGATCTCGATCAGAACCATAGAATAATGCATTGAATCCTCGGCCATCCTAGTAAATGCACAATGTTGACCCACTATCACATTGATAACCAGATCTGCCCATTGCAGTACTGTTATTTTACCTTATTTGAAACATCTCAAAATATCTCTCCATTAAATCATTTTCAAAATGTATTTTTATAGCTGGAGGGGCCATTTTAGTACTGTTACTCTCTATCTTGTTGCCTTAATTACTCGTACCCTGTCTGTCTGTCTCTATTTATTATTTTCGTCTTCTCTTTCTCCAGACATGCAGATAAATATTATCTTCTCGAAAAAAAGAAGAGGAGCGGGAAGTGGTAAAAGTTGGTGAAATAGATAGAAGCGAATTAAAACTCACCGACAGTCGCGGATCGGAAAGTGGTCCAGCCATCGACGACGTTCCGGTTGGCCTTCACCACCGTCTTCCCGATGCCGTCGCCGAGGAACATCAGATTTATCTTCTTCTTCTCCACCTCCACGTTCTCGAAGTACGCCCCGCTCTTTATGTATATCACAAACCTATTCATCAATAATACAAATTCCCCCATACTTCAATTTCAACGGTTAACAAATAAAAATTTACTTAGTGTTTGAATAACACTAACCTAAGTTGTGATTATAACCATTTCAAACTCTTTTGAGTTTTGACAATAGATACTCGTATTCTATAAATAACCAAAACGATACATTGAACACAGTTCAAACACACATACCAAACGATCTATCTATTTAGTGAAAGCATCTAGCTACGTATAAAAACCAAAACCAACAAATTCCGAGGGATACAACTGAAGGGTAGGGTTCAATTTTTTTTTTTTCTGTTGGATTTGAAAAATCAAAATTTTGGCTAAACTGGACATTTTGATTTGAAAAGTATTTGTTTGAATGATAGATTGAATAATATATTTCTGAATTATGAATTAACAGTAGTAGAATATTTGAATTTGTAAACCAAATCCTAATATAATATGTGAAATTTACAAAATCTATAGGAACTAGGAAGTACAAATTTTGAATCACAAGAACTCAAATTCGTGCATCCATAATTTAAACAAACCCATAAATAAACAATAATAAAATTTGGACCCAAATTCAACGAGCAAACAACTCCTTAATTATTTGGGCTTCCAATCCGTGTTATGGTGACTCATTTTCAACTCTTTTGGATTCGCACCAACCGACACATGCATGTGAACATAATTAAGTGAGCTCAGCATATAATCCCGAGATCAGAAGCACTCTTTAATTAATAATTATATATAGTAATCAAAGAGGAAACCTGGTATTGCTGGAATTGGGAGCGGCGGCAATCGCCTCCGTGATCGTAGTAAAGTTCCCCGTCCCGTCCTTCGCCACCACCAAGTCAAACCTCGTCCCGTTGACCGGCGCCTGAAGCAGCCTCCTGTCCTTCCTCGACAGCCAGCTGGGGAACCCGTCTCCCCCAACCTCGCCGAACCCAGAAGGAAACCTCCGGCCACCGTCCTCCTCCGCCCCTCCCCCTCCGCAACTACTCCCATTTCCGGCGACTTTCTTCAGCAGGACGAGCGAGTTGCTGACGTGGCGGGAGATGTTGTACAGGTTCGTCTTGATCTCGTCCCTCAGGTACTTGGCCTTGCTGTACGCGAACCCGTCCAGGCACGTGTACTGGTTCGTGATCGCCGCGCTCAGCAGCGTCCGCATCTCGTTGTAGTTCTTCGAGATCGAGGTCGCGTTGCCGCCGAGATCGGCGGCCGCGGATTCGATCTCGGAGAACGAGTCGTCGAGCAGCTCCAGGCAATCAGCCACCGCGACCTGCCGACATGAAAGGCGTTATTAATATTACATTGTTTGTTTTTTTTCTCTCCATAGGACGTGACACAAATTTGTTTTTTATTATCTATGGGTCCGGGGTATATATTGTCGTAAGACGGATTTCTCTTCGTATAAAAATAATTGCTTTTAGCATTAGTTGTATTTACAATCTATGTTGTCAACCAATCATATTTCATACGTATTAAGTAACGAAGTGTTTACTGATTACAGTACCGCTAGACCAAATTCTTATTAGCAACTGATTATATTACATTGTTACTTATTATCAAATCAGTAAAAACCCAAGGATTAATTACATAAAAAATAAGAAGAGAGTGTCAGAAGAATGACCTGGTCGAGGTGGCTCTTTACTCTGGCGCTCTTCTGGAGACGGGTGCAGTTGGCCGACGAGGCTCGAATCTCCTTTCTGGTGAGGTTTAGTGTCGCGGCGATGACGGTGGGGAGGGGTTTGGAAGTGAGATCCGGGAAGGAGAGGAGGGTGGAGACGCAGAGTTCAGGGTATAAGGTGCCGTCGCAGGCAGAGTTTGCGACGGCAAGGTGTTTGTGGAAATGCAGGTGAGGGAGTTGTGCTTGCCGGGAAGGGAAGTGGTGGTGGTGGACGAGGAGGAATGCTGCGAGGAGGGAAATGGGGAGGACGGCGAGCAGGATCCGGCGGCGGCGGCGGCCGTGTTTGCTGGGACGAGTTTCCATTTTGGTTGGTAGTTGGGGACTGGAGAGATGGTGGATTGAGGAAAGCAGTGGGAGGAGGAGAAAGGTGATGTGGTTTGAATAGGTGGACAGAAAACGATGGTGCGGAAAAATAGGAACCGCAGAGCACAGCCCTTTTTGCGTGGTTCTTATATTCAAATCGTCTGGATTGGTCTTACTCTACAATTTGTTTGCTTGTGGGATTTTGACGCTTCTTGCATTATTCATAATTTGTTGTTGGAAATGAGGTTGAGTTAAATTTGTGGGTCCACGTATATGGACTTATTTTTATTTTAGGCAAAATTGGTAGGGTATATGAATTATAAAATTCTCACTTCGTAACTACAAATAAAAATATGATAAGGATAGAAATGTAACTTTATTGGGAATCCAATATAATATACTATAATCAATTCACAAATCCAACAAGAAAATATACAATTTTTAAAATCCAATAGAAATTCCAAAATAGCAAAATCCAAGATAATCGTTTAATCTCAAAATCCAAGATTTTATACAAATTCTTCATTATAAAAAATTGTGAATAATGCTTTTGAAATGATTTACTAGTTAGGAGGGTGAGAAAAGTAATTTTCCTTTGGGTCGGTGATTGAAGTTTAATGCTCTGCAGGTTTCAGACTTTCAGTTTCAGCTATAGTCATGGAGTGCTATTCCAAATTTCCAGTGGCCACTGGCCAAGCCTATGTTGGAACTCGGAACTGAACATTAGTATATTATTTATTTATTTATATATATATATTATTATTATTGTCGTCATCAAGGAGGAGAGTACAAAAACTAATAAGAAATTTTTGCGCTCTGGTCAGGAGGAGAGCTGAGAGCCATGCGTTTCATTTATGGGCTTCAGAAGCAGAATTAAATTCTTCCTCTAGATTAGGCGGATCTTGTCAGCTCGGCTCCATGCTTGCCATAACTGGATCCAGATCTGCAGGTTTCTTCTCCTAATGTATGAGATATCTTTTACCCAGAGAGCCCATGGCTGGACAGAATGAGAAGGGTTGCGAAGCAAGAAGGATTTTAATAGCCTATTATGTTTCTTTATATGAAGGAATGTATTTGACACGTAAACGAGGATTTATGTGGTTCGTCTAACTTGGAGTTTAATAAGTAGGAAGAAATTAAGAGAGAAAATTCATAAAATCTGACCAATACACTTTGTGGTTCAATTTACATGAATAATCATAGTTCTTACATGAATAAGCATAGAATTACGTGATGACGTGAACGAACTTCACAATATGTGAATTATGTGTCGTGACTCGTCTCGACAAAATAAAATTTTCTCATGTATGAAGGTAGGTCCCGGGATTGACTCGGGATTAGGAAATAAAAAATAAAAATATATGTACGCAATTTATCATACTCAAACCCATCACCACATATGTTCACTAGTTAAAAAAACAAAACTGTGTCTCTCATTAATATTATTATTCATTATTTGTTTTGAGTTTACTAATTTCTAATTTAGTGTCATCCCACTTTCAAACGAAAACCCATCTACAAACTATGAAAACACAGCATAAACAATAAGATGTGATCAATTCAGAACAACGCATCGCACTACTGGATACAAGACAAGATCCAGGTAGAAAAACATGCCAATAAACAGTGGCATAGATAGCCAGAGTATACTCTCAATAATCAGTGGTTCCACTGCCCCTTCAGTTGCTCGTTCTCCCCATCCAGCAAGTAAACCCCGTCGTCCTTGACAACGTAATGAGCAAAAGAACCCAGCTTGTGGCTGTCCTTCCCTTTGTACGCGTCGAAACGAAGCCACTCGCCGGCCGCCGCCAGGTCGCACCAGAACAGCGTCCGGTCGAACATGTCAAGCTCGAAACTCCACTCGAGATGGGCGCCCATAGGCAGGCCGTGCTCTCCGATGTCGCTGTCCCTGGACCGACAGTGCGCAGACAGCGCCCGGTCCGTCGTCATCCAGTTCTCGATGTAAACCGTCGACGGGAACGCGTCCGAGGGACGCGCCGCCATGATTAGTAACGTCGCGGCCAGAACCACTAGCTTCCTCATCATCATCATCATTTTTCTTTCTTTCTCTCTTCCTTGCTTTTTTGCTTGTTGTTTCCCTTTAACTACATCTTCCGTTGTTTTTATAGTGCACTTAGGAGAAGCATTGTTTGAAAAAGATTAAGATGAGCGGAAGAGCTCCGGCCGGGTGTGACTCTCCTTCTTCGGCATGGTTGACTTTGGAGTTAATCACGAAACACTTGCAAATTTGTCCCTTGCAAATTGGCGCTTTGATAACATTAAGCTGTAAAATTAGAGAGATTTCGACTTTTTCTTCGATATATGGTCGCGCGTTATCACAAAACACGTTCTAGATGATATGAAAAGAGGCACCGATCGAGAGATATAAGTCAAAACAATTCATTCATGTGGATGTATGTAACCGTCAATTTTGCAGTCGTTGAAATCGAATTGATTATATAATATGTCGTAATTCTCGATAGAGATAACTATGACTACATAAGTATTTTGGCTATCAAAATATGGTTTAAACTAAATAATAGGAATAATTAAATTGATCAAGATAAATGAGGAAATTTCTTTATTCTAACTTGGATTTCAATTATTTTTTGCACAGATGGAACGAGTTTGTTGTGCTCTACAAAATGAGATCTATCTTCAATATTCTTTTAGAAATTTTTTATATATGTCGTTACCAAACTACATACCATATGGTATCTCCTTTGTTTTTAAGTCTTTTTCTTATAAACATTTGCACAGAAATAACAAGTTTATCATGATATTTTTTATCTACAAATTTATGGGAGAAAAAAAATGCAGTACCAAAAAATACCACCTCATACAACCCTGCTATGAGGGTGGTATCTTATGGCACACAATGTTGAAAGTCGTAAATGAAAGTTCGTATAATAAAGTGATTAGAGTGATGCAGATAATAATAAACACAGTAAAATTATATTCGTAAATTCTCGTGATCACTAGAGTGATGCAATTGGCTATGTTATTTTTTCTGTTACTTTTGAAGTACTTCGTAGTAAGAGAAAAATTATTGTAAACAAAAAGTTTAGATAATACGTGGTAATTATTCGGTGTTTCACTTAAAACTCTCCTATATTCAAGGTTTAATTGCATGGTTGGTAATCGAGATTATAAAAAATGTTCATATTTGATCACTGGAAATATTTAAGTGACCAACCATGCATTCAACCTGTATTGAAGTGATCTACATATTGGTGCATATTTTTAAACTCTCTTAATTTCTATAGTTTCTTAAATTGAATTCGTTAATTTCAAAATTCTATATATCAATCTCCTAAAGAACGATAAATTTATTACTTGTTTGACCGTAAAATTACGTGGGATAAGATAATAGAGCCATCAAGGCATAGATTAAGTGGGGCAAGTGATCATCAACCGGCCGAAATGTGACTCAAAGATAAAATATGCTGTAACCCTGTGACCTTTTTATTTCTTGAGTTCTAATATCATCGCCATTATTGGAAAAAAAAAGAAGATAAAATATGCGATGTATTAAAAAGAGGAAGCAGAAAACAAATGTAAGTCGGAAGTGGTACATGATCCATAACAAAATATGACGTAGAAAAACCGATAACGAGGACACATTATATTCTTTTGCTAGCAAACATCCATCGGTCGATCCCCTTCAATAATCCATTCTTGATCAGTATACTAGCTAGTGCCAGTTTCCGCCAAGGTATTTTTCTTGGATTCCATTTCCATACCTGTTCAGCAAGTAAACTCCATCGTCTTTGACAAACCACCGAACATTATTCATATCTCGCAGTTTCGTAGCTGCTCCATTGTACGCGTCGAAAGAGAGACGCTTGTGGTCGTTGGCTGCGAGATCGCACCAGAAGAGCGTCGAGCCAAACCCTTCGTTTTCGAAGCGCCAGCTGATGTTGGAGCCGACGTCGAGAGCTTGGTCTCCGATGTCGTCGTCTTTAATTTGGATCGACAATGCACACTCAGAACCGTCCCAACGGACATGCTGTTTTCGACATAAACCGTTGTTTGAGTTGAGAGGCCTCTCTTCTCCTGTTTTTATAGTGCACCGATGAGTAGAGGACATAGCTTGTCAAATTCAAAGTAAGATACCTCAGGCTTCTGAGTTCTGACTCTCCTTCCAGGTAACAAACCCACGGCAGATTATATTAGTAGAATAGAAGAGATCTCCGGCAAAATGCGTCAACTTTCCTTAACTTGACGTGTAAAAGTCAAACAATTCCTTAAATTGGAAGTATATATACCTAGCAACGATGAGAAAAACGAGTTAGGAGAGTTAAGGACAAACAATGGAGAGAAACTGTCCATTTGGGATGGATTGTGAGTGTTTAAATACGATATTTCCTAGTTAAAAAGGCCTAAATATTTATCTATTTTTAAGATATAAATTGAAAATGCAACATAACGTTAAAATGTATATGTTCAATTTGTATTATAAAGGCGAAAAACCAAAACACTTATACTTTATAGCATTATAAAATTCCACGTTACCTAACATGATTTGTTTCAATGTTGTCCTAAGACTAAGAGAATGCCTTCTCTTAACCAACCCGATCTCGGCATCTACACCATCAGCACACTCGCGAGCCGATGATGAGTAACAATTGCATTTTTTTTGTCGAAAATAGAGTTCTTAAAAGGTGCTCCGAATTTTTTCCATAAAAAACTCGAGGAGTGGAAACTCCTATTGATCGAAGTACAAAACCAATAGGTTAGTCCACGAGATGAAGATATAAAAAAAAACATGCTACCAATATTATTTGGTTGGGAAAAGTATAAATCATTTTTTCAATCAAATTATTTTGTCTCCTCAATTTTCATTTGGTTATCCATACTTTGTTTATAATAGGCAAACAATTTATTAACATTTTAGCTTCCAAAATATAATTAGTTGTAAATACCAGTCGTTTTGCAACCAATTTTATTTTGGTTGTAAATTTTTTGGTTGCAAATACTACTTTTTCTTGGTTGTAAAGATCATTAGAGGAGCTGCCCAATTTCGACACATCATAAGACAAAGCACCAAACAAAATGAAAAAAAAAAAAACAAAATTCGAAGTTCTCATCTAGTTTCAGTTCACCGCCGCTAGATTACATTACAAAGCAGGGACATTTTTTTTTCTTCTTTCAATTCCACTCTTGTCGAGGGGATGATTCCACGTTGCCATCTCCGGTCACCAGATAGACTCCATCATCCCGGACGGACCACTCAATATCATAACCTCCGATGTCGGTACCTTGGTAATACGCGTTGAACGAAAGACGCTTATCTTCGACCGCGAGACGACACCGGAAAAATGTCAGCCTAACAAGTTCCGAGTTGTCATTAAAACTCCACGAGATGTTGGCTTTAACATCGAGCAAATGAGCGTGAAGATTGTCGTCCGCGGATCGACAATGCACTATCAGTATTCTGTCTCTTAAATCGTTTCGAACACAAGCCGTCCGCTGGATTGTGGGCCGTGCCACGAACAATATGGTCGCCAAGGTGACCGTCACTAGTAATTTAGCTTGGATTACCGCCGGTTTGGTCCTCATCATATGATCAGTTTGATGTAGGAATCCTTTTTTTTTTCCTTTCCTTCTTTTTTCCTCTCTTTGGTGTGTATGAAAAAAGAAAAAAAAAAAGTAATACTGCTTACTGAATACTTGGAATTCATAGCTAGGTGCTGCTTTTATAGTGGACTGATAAAGCAGAAAAGTTGGTGGGTTAATTACATAAATGGTTAATTGCACAAATGGTTACCCAACTTTGAGTTTTGACCGGATTTCTCACAGAAATCTGGACAAACATACATTATAGTTCAAGTTTCTCATCCAAATGATCTAAATCAATTGGTCGCGACGTGCCCAAATTAGTACTTAAAGGTTTAATATTAACTACAAAGTTTAAAGCAAATTTAATCGAAATCGAAGCATTAACCCGGGCCCTTCTGCATACAAAACGGTATATGTGTGAGTTGGCTGGGTAAACAATTTGGTTTGTGTATGATTTTAGAATGACGTCAATTCGGCTTCTGGATATAATTAGTTTGGGTGATCAAAATGATTTCGTCAGAAAGATTGAGCGTTGTTAGGCTAGATAGTTCAAATTTAAGCAACAATTTTGTTAAAAACTAAATCTAAGTGATCGTCTTATCAGTAACCCTAAAGCTTAGTGACCATTGAAGTAATCCGCCGCAGAAGAGTCCGCTGTGCCAACGGCTCTGTCCCTCTCATTCTTTCCTATTGGGGATGATCACTTCGCCGTCTGATTTGTTTTCGCCGGGATGTAGTGTAGCCTGTTTATTATTTCCAGGGAATCCTTTGCCGGATAGAGATCGCTTTTCTTTTTCACATTATTACAAGTATCTCAAGTCATAAACCCAGCATGAAACAAAAAATAATTAGACTAGGAATGAGCGATATGATTCCAGTTGGATCGAATCCAGTACATATTGAATATGGGTTATGTTTGAGTTCAGTTTGAATCAACTTATATGAGTCGTCAGACAAAATGAGTTGGTTTAGGTCCATCAATTTGTACACATAGAAAGGATACATTGATCATCTCACTATTGCTTTCAACTAAATTCACAATTTCTTTTTTTTGATAATGATGATTGAATTAAAGGAAAACGAACCAAAATCGAAACAAGAGTCAAAGGAAGAGGGGTTCACAAGCAACTGAACCCAACTTCCCAGAAAAGCAAAAAAGTACAGCGACAGAGGGAGGCCGCAAAAAACCTGCCCAGAAACGAAACAGAAAAGAGAGACCTGGGAGGCCAAGAGTGCCACAAACGATCCGCACAAAAACCAGCTAGGTGGACCGAGCCACCCCTGCTAGGAACACAATACATCACAGGCGGACACCTGGATACTGCTTCACAGGCAGCGCACGAAAAAAGACACAGACAAACAACACAAAAACACAGCAGCAACCCCCATCTCGCACCAACAAACCAACAGCCCACGAGCGACAACGCTGAGGAAGCAGCGGAAAATCATCAGCAGCAACCCCCATCTCGCACCAACAAACCAACTGGCCACGAACACCATCACTGAGGAAGCAGCTGAAAATCAACAGAACCTCAACTTATCCTCAAGCCACTGTAACCCACTGTCCCTCTCTGTCTTTCCAAAAGCATTAACCCACTCCACTGTATCTCTAAGAACCTTGCGAGAAACAAGCTTCGGATGCCGATGAACTCCCTTGAAAATTCTCCTATTTCTCTCGAGCCAAACCTGCCATCAAACCGCGTGAAGAGCCCCAAAGAGGAACCAATTATCCATGCTATCCTCTGAATTCATAGGCCACCTCCTGATAGAGTCGATGATGTCGCCCTCGGGAATCTCAATGCTCTCACTAACCCTTTTCATTCTGCTCCAAATCTCCTTGACGAACCTACATTGGGAAAAGATATGTCTAACATTTTCTTCTTCCAAATTGCACAACTCGCACCTGTTGGCTAGAACCCGGCCTTCAGATTGTCCAGAGTCAAGATCCGATTATGCGCCACAAGCCACAGAAAACAGCAGATTTTCGTGGGGATGATATGCCTCCAAACGGAATCACAAGGAAAATCAGGGACGCCATTGAACTTTTCCCCAGTAAGGAACCTGTAAAAAGAACAAACCGAGAAGGAGCTATCCGGACAGGGCAACCAAACCGGCCGAGGAGGCCCATTGGTAACCCTACCAGACCCCCGAGAATAGAGCAAACTCATACACTCACCCCTTTCCCTCTCCGCACCCCCCCTAAGGTTTAAATGTAAAGGAATGGACCAAGAAATACTCTCACCAGAGAAGGTTATGGCGTCTGAGACCTTGGCGTTCGGAAAGCTAGAAGCAGCAGCAACCCTTGGGAAGTCATCGGCGAGCACCACACCGGGAATCCAGCTATCATGCCAAAAGGAGACCCAATCACCATTGCCGGGATCAATACTAGCCTTCTTCCAGAAGTCATCATACTCCTTCGAGATATTTGCCCACACCGACCCAGAGAAACCTTGTCTACACCTAGCAGTGCCCCACTCCGATAGCTGGTTCGGATATTTACTGTTAATTAAACCCCTCCACCAGCTGTCCCTTTCAGAACAGTATCGCCACAACCACTTCCCCAACATGGCTCTATTAAAAGACTCCAGGTCCATAATTCCAAGTCCTCCTTTCGAAAGAGGAGCTTTACAGATGTCCCAGCTAACCAGAGCCATTTTCTGGCTATCACTCGAACCGCTCCACAGGAACCTTCTTTGGATGCTCTCCAAATTTTTAATAACCATCTTCGGAGCTCGGAAAAGAGAGAAATAGTAGACCGTCTGATTAGAAAGAACAGCCTTGATCAATGTTAATCTTCCCCCAAAAGAAAGGTACCTGCTTTTCCAACCTTCGGGCCTCTTCCTGTACTTATCCACAATCGGGTCCCACAGAGAGATTGCATTGGGCTTCGCCCCAAGAGGGAAACCCAAGTACTTCGACGCCTCCGCACTCCAATTGCACCCAAAAATGGATGCGAAGAAGTCAGGGTTAGGCACATCCCCTACAGTGAACATGACAGATTTGTCCAAATTGATTCTGAGACCGGTAACAGCTTGGAAGCAGACAAGCGTTGCGAGGATATTGACCACCTGGCTGTACTCCGCATCACAAAATATTAGGGTGTCGTCGGCAAACAATAGATGAGTGACCTCCCCCCCACCACCCTCCTCATTCATGAAAAAACCAGAGATTCTCCCTTCCTCCCGCACCTTGGAGATCATAAAAGAAAGGACATCCATAATCAAAGTAAACAACCCAGGGGATAGAGGATCACCTTGTCTCAACCCTTTCTCAGTATCAAAATACCCTTTCGATTCCCCATTAACAAGAACAGAGATTTTGGGGTTGCACATCGTGGCCCTAATCCACTTTTGCCATTGACTAGAGAAGCCCATACGAGAGAGGATGAGAAACAGGCAGTTCCAGTTCACATTATCAAAAGCCTTCTCGATGTCCAATTTGAACATCAAACCCGGTTTTCTGCTCTTCTTCCGACTATCAACCAGTTCAAACGCAATTAACCATGCTTCACCAATCTGCTTACCCTTGACAGACGCATGTTGATGTTTAGAAACAAACCGGGGAAGAACACTGCTCAACCTGCGAGAAAGAACTTTGCTGACCAATTTGTTGAAGCTGCCCATCAAGCTAATTGGCCTCAAATCCTTAATGTCTTCCACCGAGTCTTTTTTAGGAACCAGAGAAATGAACGAGTGTGTTGTGCAGTTAGGCAAGTATCCTGACAAGAAGAAGTCCCCAAAAGCACTAATAACCTCTCCCTTGATCAAACCCCAGCTCTTCTTATAGAACTCCCAGGTAAATCCATCCGGACCCGGAGCCTTTCCCCCATCGCTCTCGGCGATACTTTCCCATATTTCCAACTCTGAGAAGGCCCTGTCAAGCATGATTGAGTCAAACTCACTGATTTTGTTGCATATATAGGACATAGGGAAGGGACGCAAAATCAAATCTTCATGGAACAAACCCTTATAGTAATCCACGACACCAGCAGCCACCTCTTCCTTTCCTTCCATTAAAACCCCATTGATTTTAATACACCCTACACGATTGATCTTCCGCCTGTAATTAGCCATTCTGTGGAAAAACCCGGAATTCCTATCACCTTTATGCAGCCAAAGCTCTCTCGACTTTTGCCTCCAGGAAATCTCCAGAAGGTCAAGAACCTTCCCAATCTCAGCCAGCAGAAGATCCCTCTCGTTCGCCTCCTCAATCACCAAACACCTCTCCTCCTCCTGCTGGTTAATATCATGAACCTTAGAAGTGAGTTCTTCAAGCTTCTTATTCAAATCCCCAAACACCTCACAATTTCAATGTTAGTGTTTCTATATTTTTGTTTATATCGGAACAAACGAAAAGAAAAAAACAGCATTCGAATCGATATCTATTAGCTAAACCTGATTTGGCCGATAGTAAATTGGCCTTGGATGATACCCAAAAAACTGGATACTTTTTAACACCCCTAAAATAAACCACTGATTTTGCTTCCTTTCCAATTCTCACACCTGGGTAGACAATATATGGATTGGTAGGGTTGACTGTTCTCAAATTGACAGATCCGCACTTTAGAAGTGGATGGTTAGTGTGTGATGCAGTTAAGTGTTTATGATTGTTAATTCTTTGTCAGGTGAAATTAAGTTGGGTGTGGGTCATTCTAATGATCCGTAACCCACCACCCACCCACCCAATTAAGCGTGGATAGGAAATTTTCGAATCAATGATCTATCCACATCAATCGCTCTCATTCATTGCGATTTTGATTATTTGTGGGTGGATCAATATCAAACTGCGAATTAACCCTCACTTGTTCTGTCAAGCGCACATAGTATCCGAACATGTGCAAATTTAAAGACTATATAAGGCGCTTTCATTCAAGGATGCAGGAGCGGACATAGTAAGGACCAGGGTGTGTCGTCCGACACACCCTCGCCAGGAAATTTTGTGAATGACCTATATTTTCTTGGTACAAATTTTTTTTAATTCGGGACTTCCGACACACCTCAAATAATTGTGAGCGACACACCTTCATTATACGAGAATGATTTTCTTGTTATAACGTTATTTATCTTAATTAATAATAAACAATAATAACTAAAATTAAATAAATATGTTTGTTTTAAAGTAACCCACACCATAACCCAACAACGAAAAAAAATATACATAACCTCATCCTTTTAAACTTTCTGTTTCCACCCCTCGACCCTTCTTTTATTGAAAATAAAAAACTCATACTTACCTCTTTTTAGTTTCTAATTGCCGAGACCCACTGCCACATCCCCTTTCTTTCATCCTTTAGTTTACTTGCTCTTGAAGTTGGTGTTGACTTTACTTGTTGCAATCGCAAGGTGAGAAAGAGCATTTTCAGCTATGAAGATACTCAAGAATGAACTTCGAAATCGGTTTAGTGACCAATTTATGAATGATTGTTTAGTTGTGTATATCGAAAAGGATTTGCTTCGCAACATAAACGATGAATTTATTTTACAGACATTTCAGGACATTAAAAGTCGTCGTGGTTCTTTGTAAACATGACATTCTGAACTTTATGAATTCATTTCTTTTTATTTTTTAAAATTAATTTTTTAAATTATTATCTTATTTCATCGGCCACACACCTCTTCGATAATTCTGGGTCCGCCACTGCAAGGATGTGTATTAGTAAATGGTTGTATGAGCCATAATTAAATCTCTCCCGATGACGACTCATAATCAAATTATTAGGACTACAGCTTCTTTAAACATAGTATCATAGCCTTCAGTGATCGAGAAGTCTTATATTCGGATCCCGGTAATCCCCATTGGCAAGCACATGGTGTATTTCCTTTTTTTTTTTTTTTTTGGTGAGAGTATTTCCTCTTTTATGATGGTGAAATCAATTTATTAACAATAGAAGAGGAAAGAAACACAGCGAAAACGAAATTTTTTTACAAGAACCCTCAAGAACACGAAGGAAACAAAAGGCAATGAGGAAAGTTTGCCCTAAAAAAGACTTCCAGCATCTGAAGCCAATGTCCAGAAACGACCTGCAACAGCATCAGAAGAGACGTTACCACCACCGCCGGTCGATCAATTCCCACTTTTCTCGCGGTGCAGATTCTACGTTACCATCCCCGGTCACCAGATAGACCCCGTCATCCCGGATAGACCACTCCATATGATCATGACCTCCAATGTCTGCGTCGAATGTAAGACGCTTATATTCCACCGCGAGACGACACTGTAAAAACATCGCAGTAATGTCGTCCGAATTAATCCACGAGATGTTGGATTCAACGTCGACAGTTCGAGCACGAAAATTAGTGTAGCCGGATTGACAATGCACTATCAGTATTTTGTCGCTTAAATTGTTTCGAAGAGAAACCGTCCGCTGGATGGTTGGCCGTGCCACAATGAATATGGTCGCCAAGGTGACCGCCACAAGTAATTTTGTGGGGATTAATGCCGGTTTGCACCTCAACATGATCAGTTTGGCGTAGGAATGTAACAACTAAAAAGAAAGAATGTTGCACTGAATACTTGAAACTGCTAGCTAGCCAGCTAGGTGCTGCATTTTATAGAGTGAACTGATCATGAGTAGAAGAGTTGGTTGGTTAATTGCATAAACGGTGCCTCGATTTTAAGGTCGATAAAAGTTCAGTTATTCGACTTCGAATTTTGACGAATTTCTCACTGAAATCGAGTCGAAGAAACATACATTATAGTTCAAGTTTTCTTATCCAAAACAATCTAAATCAATTTGTTGATAGTAGTGCCCAAAATTTTACTGAAAAAGTTTAGTATTGATTGCCCAGTGTAAAGAGAACTTAATCGAAATCGGAGCATTAACCCGACCCCTAGCTACCGCGTATAAAAAGTATGTGTGAGTCAGTGGAGTGAATCCCATAGTTTGTGGATGATTTTCGAATGAATCGTCCATGTCAATTAGTCCAAACTTCGGCAACAATTTTATTAAAACCTAAAGTTTAGTGATTGACTTATCAGTAACATAAAGCTTAGTGACCATTGATGTATTCCGTCCCAAAAGAGTCCTCTGGGCCAACGGCTCTGTCTCTCTGCTTCTTTCCTATTAGGGATGATCTCTTCGCCGCTGATTTGTTTTCACTGAGATGTAATGTAGCCTGTTTATAATTTTCAGGGAATTGTTTTCAGGGAATTGAGAGCTCAGTCTGATTTCAGAACTGTCATAAAAAGGCTTAGGGAGCCAAGTAGGATTTTTGTGGGTCAAACATTTTGGTTTCCAGGTTCAACCTCACTAGTTTAAACGAGAAAATCTAGACCGAATTTCTAGCCCAACTTTCAACTAAGTTCACAATTTCAATGTTTATGTTTCTACAATTTTGTTTGTATATGAACAAAGAAAAGGCAAAAATGCATTAGAATTGGTATCTATTTTATTTTGTGCACAATATCATAGTTCTAATTGAGATCAAAATTGGAGAAAATTGGGTATGAGTCTGATCCAAACTAATATTACCTAAACCTTATTTGATCCATAGTAAATTGGTTTTGGACAACATTCAAAATTTGAATCCTTTTTGTCATCCCTAAAATAGACCACTTGTTTTTGCATCCCTTCCAATTTTCACGGCTAGGGCCTAGGGGTAGGTAATTGTTTTTGGATAATGGCGAGACTTGCATTAAAAAAGAAAGAAACAGAGTACAAATGGGGGCAGTAAGTAATTGTTGTGTTTGATTGATTTCGTTCTCAAATTGAACGATACACTAATTAACTAGTTGATACAATTATGGTTTGCTATCCACTCAAAATGTTTTTTTGTAATGGATTGGGCTAGTGATGTATTTGATTGATTTCACAAACCTTTCATAATGTAAAAAGTCATTTGTCTTTAAATGGGAAAATTAGTGGCATTGTGAATTGTATTTAATTAAATATTTATATATTTAAATGTTTATATTTGTATATATTTTTATGGATTACACATCTCTTCAAAATGCCTAGGTCCTCCACTTAGATCAATTGATTTATGACATAATAAACAAGATATTCCTGTGAAAAATATTAAAATTGTAAGTTAATTACATGTTGCACAATTTTGTAGTTATGAACTAAATCTCTCTCGAAAAGGAGAAATTTGACCGTCATATTTCTTAAATGAATGTGAATTGCATCATACAACTTTCATTCAAAATAAATTAAGGTTGATAAAATTGCTGAGAATCATACAAATGAAAACCCATCGAGCGTCTTTCTCAACAGAAACAATTCATAGTAAACTAGAACATCGACATGCCAAAGGTCACATAGCCTGGTGGTAAGGGAGGAGGACTGGTGACCATAAGGTCCCAGGTTCGATCCTCACCGCCACCATGGTGTTCCCGGAGGCATCCCGCTATCACCTGGACCGCCGGCGGAGGTCCCGGGGTTTAGCCTCACTACGGCATCACAAAATGTGGTGACCGTGGAGGGTGTTCCTCGTTATCAAAAAAAAAAAAAAAAAAAAAAAACTAGAACATCGACATAATGGCGAAATTGAAGTACATCCACCTGCACACTTGGTCAATTACCGCTTTGATATCTTACTTCTTCACGATTTGTAAAACGTCAAATTGTTATATATAGTACTCTCTCGTAAAATTGATTCTTAAGATGAAAGTGTGACAACATTTGTATTGCAATAATCTGACGATTTTATTATAATGAGAAAATGAAACCAAATATAGAACCCAGGCCATCGAATCAGGTTCCCACTCTCCTGAAAGATGGCTACAATCTATGACACGTAAAACACTCAAACAGACTCAATAACAAACCGAGACCAGAACGACGACACAGCAACAGTACTGAAAATCAAAACGACACCGCACTGCGCACAACATCGCGCTTTTATTGACCCGTCAAACGTTCTTTCAACTTTTGATATATAATCTCCGATACGATTTCACAATCATTTCCTCCAATCCAATGGTTTCAGCAGAGCCAATAGTTACCAAAAAGTTTCCTTTTTCATCGGCAACTTGACAATTCTTTTCCCCACGTCTGGCGAGGGAAGCTTTCTTCAGTGCCATTGGCGGCCAGCCGATGGACTCCGTCGTCCCTAACCATCCACTGAATATCGTAACCTCCAAGCTCGGTGCCTTGGCTGTAAGCGGTGAAATAAAGACGCCTATCTTCGACGGCGAGGTGGCACCGGAAATGTGTTTCACCCACAAGGCAATCGTCGAAACTCCAGGCGATATTCGATTTAACAGCAATGGCATGAACGCCAAGACTATCATCAATGGACCAACAACTTGCTATCAGTATTTTGGAACATAACTGATTCTCAACAGAAACCGTCCACTGGATCGAGGGTCGCACCAGAGCAAGAATGGCTGCCAAGACCACCGCTACAAGTCATTTTCTGGAGATGACCGCCATATTCCTCGCCATGATCACTTTGATGGAGGAGTTCCTCTTTTTCTTTCTCTCTCTTTTGGGAGGTATATTGAAAGGATGTTGATCTGAATAGGTAGACTAGTGCTAGCTATCTGTTGCTTTTATAGTGGACTGATGAGTATAAAGGTGGGATTGATTTCTGTTGAGATCGGATGCTCTATTAGTATGATATTGTCCGATGTAGGTTTAAGTCCGCAAAAAAATTTACTTTCGGTTCTTTTCTCAAAATGCCTTGTACTAATTGAGTTTTGTGGACATGGGCAGTATACAAAGGTCATTTCTCATGTATTTTTAATGTGATATTTGTATTGCATCATATATAACAATCCACCCTTCAAGACAAGGACCACGAACTTTCTGTCCTCTCTCAGCAATTATCTTGATATGCCAGATGCCTTTGCTTCGACATGCTCTTCGTCACAAGAAATTTATCATATGCAGGTCTGCACCTGATCCACGAGATAGAATACCAGATACAGATCACCCTTTATCCGCTAGACAAATGCATATATAAAATCCCAAGGTGATTGGCCGATTGATGGTCCATCCTGACGTCCACCACCCATGATCCGAACCAGGTTCTTATACTACTTGTTGATATCAGATAGTTTTATTGGTACGACATCGTCCGCTTAATGACAAACCTGCACGGATTTACTTTTAGATTTCTTGTAAAAAAGCCTGTACTTATTTGAGCTAGTACTAAAGTTTTTTTCCCTTTGTGATAATTGGTACATAACAATTTCATATAGCGTGAATGAATTTGAGGACCATGATAAAGAATAGGCCATTGTAAAGAATTTACTCAAGTATAGAGACCATTGATTCTTGCAATCAACCTTAAAAGAGCCTTTCTTATCTGGGCCAACGGCCCTGTCCCTCTCCTTGCCTTGTTTCCCTGCTCTATCTGATTCCTTGACCGGCTGGTTCGTTTGGTGCTGAGATGTAGTGTAGTCGGTTTATACTTTCGAGGGAATCGTTTGCCGGGAACTTCAAGATGAGCTGAAATTAGCCGGGAATCTTTCTCGACTTCTTTCCATTTTTCCTCCGTCGTGCATGGGCCTGACCACTAGAGAACCCAGGCCCAAGCCCAGGCCCAGGCCCAGGAATTTGATCCCTAAAAATATTGCAAACAAACAATAGATTTGCCACAACCCACAAGTGCATGATGGATTGGATTTAGTAATTAACAAAATTCATCACCCAAATCAATGAAAGTTGGTGTTGGGTTCCTGTATAGCACCTAATTTGTCTAGACACCAAAAGCGAAAAACTATATTTCTCGTATTTTGATACATCACGAATTACAAATACATTGATTCATTACGAATTGTGATTTAGGGATGGTTGATCCAAATATGAATTGTTATTTCTGATTGTACATATAAATGAGTGGCTGGATTGCGATTTATGGTTGTGGGTTTGGTGTGACTGTTTGCGCGCATATCTTGTCAAAAAAATCAAAGATGCCCCGCTGGTGAACCACTCCTACTCTGCAGATTCAACTCTCTCTCTATATATATACAGTAGCGTCTTAAATATATTTTCAATGGCGTGGTTAGCAATTTAATTATCAGTGTTGCTTCTAATGATCATCCTCATTCTATATAATCCCGATCGAAGCTTATCTTGTTAGTTACAAAAATCACCCACGTATAGCAAATTAATACAACGCCCACTTTTTTTTTGCAGCCTCTAATTAATGTCACCGAAGGCGGAGGAGAAGGTGATCACTGTGAAGAAAGTGGACGAGCTGAAGCTGAGCACTGCCGTTTACAGGCTAAACTTGCATTGCAAAGAATGTGCAATTACGGTCAAGAGGCCTCTTCTCGCCAGACAAGGTACGTGAAGGCTGGTGGGCCGAAAGAGGATCCTGTGATCACGTGGGCCGAGAGCCTGGTCCAATAACTTTTTCATCTTGAACGTACGTTTTTCCAGGTGTCCATAGTGTCATTGCTGATGTCGAGAAGGGAGAGCTGAAGGTCAAAGGGGAAATCGACGTGAAAGAGATTCACGAAGTGATTCGAAGAATTAGTAAGAGAAAAGTTGAGATTGTAACGTCGGAAACTGACCGCAAGACCGGCAATGCAGGCAAAAAGGAGGTAGAAATTGAAGAAACTAAAGAAGTAAGCCGTGTAGTTATAGACGTTATTAATTGCTTTCACGCAAAAGTCATATCTGCGTACCAAATCAGAAGAAATTGACACTCTTTTTTTTTTTTTTTAATTTGGAAGACAATTATACGCACCACGTCAATCAAGGTTCACCTACACTGCCACAAATGCCAGATTGACCTCAAGAAGAAGTTACTCAAGCATAAAGGTAAACCCTAATTTCATGAACTTACATAGATAACAAGACTAATGATCGCATTCATGATAATTTTATGTACATTCTTCTAGCACAGGGATTCACACAGTGAAAATGGATATGAAAGCACAAACAGTGACCATTCAAGGAACCATTGAGTCAGAGAAGCTGCTAAGCTACATGAGGAGAAGAGTGCACAAGCACGCAGAGATTATAGTCTCGAAGAAGGTTGAGAAGAAGAAAGTGGAAGCAAAATGTTGCGACGACGACGAAAAGGATGTCGTCAAGATCAAAGTGGACAAGTGCTGTGATTCTGATCAGGAGATCATTACCACTAAACCTGGCACCAGATGTGAGACTGAGACGGTTTGCGTGGAGAATAAAGATGGAGGCCTAGTAGGCGCCCCTTATTTCATTCACTATGTCTACGCTCCTCAGCTATTTAGTGACGAAAACCCCAATGCTTGTTTAATCATGTAGCTCATCATAATTGATGATCTATTTCAATCATTGTTTGAATATATGATTTTTTTTATTTATTTATAATTGTTTAAATGAGATATTGTTGCAAGATTGGATAATTTAAAGTAAGAAATTCAAACATAGAGAGTTCGCGGTAGAAAACCAGAAAAAGAGTCTGCAATTCGAAAATTAAAAGAAAAAAAACGTCGGTTATGCAAACTACCGACTCAATAACATTGCTACGGGTCGACCTGCAAGTGTGTAGCGCCCCCCATTTCCTCACTAGGTTGGGTTTCAACGAGAAAACCAGAAAAGAGAAGTAATTCGAAAAATCAAAGAGAAAAATGTCGTCGTGCACCCATTTTTCTTCATCAATTCAGGTTCAAATCCGATCGACCCACAACTTATTCCACTCCCGGTGAAAGGATTCTACGAGGGTACCATCCGGATCCACTAGATGAACCCCATCCTCCCTAACAAGCCAGCGAACGTCATGACCGCGAAGGTGGTCGGTTTTCCCATCGTATGCGTCGAAAGAAAGTCGTCTATCTCGAACCGCCAGCCTGCACCAATAGAGCGTCTTCCCAAATGTGTTTGGCTCGAAACCCCATTCGAAACGAGAGCCAACGTCAACGATGTTGGCTCCAATGTCGTCGTCTTTGGATCGACAGTGAACTATCACCTTTCTACCTCTCAACTCGTTTTCAACAGAAACAATCCTGTGCTGGATCGATGGACGTGCCTGCAGAATCATTAAGGCCGCAAAAACCACTGCCACTCGCAACATCGTGACCAATTTGATGAAGCAATACGTCGTCTTTTAAACTCTCTCTCTCTCTCTCTCTCTATACTATCTCTTATAGTGCACGTGGAAGCAATACGCTGTACGGGGAGCAAAAGTGTACGTCTCTTTCCTTCCACGTGCAAAACGCGCAGAGGCGGTTCGTTGGATGCATGCATGGGGTTGGAGTACGTAGAAGAGTCTTATGGATCTCTGGCTCTCCATCTCTCCTATGTATGATTGATTCTTTATCCCATCTTATATGTGTTTTTGGATCGTGTGAGATAATAACAATAGGTTACCATATTAGGGTGCAAAAAGTCATGTAAATTTTCCAGATGTGAAATCCCAAAATTGCCGGTAACAACTAGGACAGAAGGAAGCAATTCCTTCAATTGGACGTATTCGTAGTTCCCTAGTAGGGCTGGCTATTTGGTCCGGACTTTTTGGTTTTACCCGAAACCGGACTGTATAACTCGGATCGGGATCGGACTGGGACCGGATAGCAAATAATCCAATCTCATATCCGGGTTTACATTTGATGTAAAAAACCGTTTAGGACCGGATCGAAAACCAGATGAAGACCGGATAAGAGACCCCAACACCTAAAACTTAACCAACTCATCACCCTTTGAGGTCTCAGGCCACTCAAATCCCCACAAGCTCAATCTAAAATCAAGACCCAATTGGGATCGGACTGGGTCAAGACCGGACCGGATCAATTCTAGAAGTGTAAGTTCAATTTTTTTTATTAACATTTTTTATGACGTGGAGTGCTGATTGGACAAAACTAACAGAACTTTGGACCATTTTTTTATTACATTTGACTGTTTTGTTATATGCTCAAATGTTTATTATCAAATCGTGCAAAAATAATGGTTTGTGACCATTTTGTATAAAGTGTAAAGAGTTTGTGACTGTTTATGTTAATTATCCGTGAAACTTCAAACACACTCATGTAACATCAATATTGAAAAGTTCAACAAAAAATTCTAAATATAGAATTAGACGAAGGAGAAAACAGAAAAAGTACAAATCGTAAATTAAAACGAAAAACAACATCGTGTGACCTCAAATCCAGGAACCTGGCTACGGGTCGAACCGTGAATGTACGACTCCCTTTTTGCTCCCATGGTCTATGGGGTCAATGTTATTTGGGTTCGTGTTCTGGGTGTGGTTATAACCGCTTTTCCTTTATCATATTGGATTAGGGTTAGACCATAAAGAAGTACAATAAATACTTCTCATACTCCTATGTAATATGTATATCCTCGAAGTATAGTGAAACTGGCTCTATTCTGCATGTGGACTAGCTAACACAAATTGTGTTAGTGAACCACGTAAATCGTGTGACGTGTGTGTGCTTTAGTTTTTTTGCACTGTCGAATACTCCAAATTTCCCGATCCGCAGAGAAACAGTCGTAACAATAGAGTACTTACAGCAAGGTTGTCAAACTGGTTTAGCCTGTTGGCATGGTCGAACAAGTGAATTAAAGGTTAATGGTCCAATCGCTATAGCCCAGTTTAGATTGGATGTTTGAAAAGATTGTTATATTATGTATATATTTATAAATTATATCAAATTTCTAATAAGAAGGGTAATATCTTTTAGGGGTTGTTTGCTTGATGGATTTGGATCCATCATGAACTTTGTCCAAACTTAATTGTTCGCTTCATATATCCAGGAGCAACAAATCTGTGAGACGCACGAACTTTAAAGGTCGAAAACCGTGGCCCCAAAAAATTTGAAATCTCACTCTTATATGAGAATTGATAAAAGACTTTGAAGTTTATCATTTTTTATCAACGTACTCCTCTTATATCCTTTCTCTTCTCATATCAAAGAGGACAATAAATATTAATTTTACTTCACATTTACAAATCTTCAAAAGAATTAAAACATCTATAATAAAATTTAGGCCTAATACCAGAAAAGGGCCCGTAGTTTAGAGTTTGGGTCATTTGCACCCCTAGGTTTATACCGCGTCACTTATGTCCCCAAGTTTATAGTCCGCATGCTAATTATGTCCTCACTCGTTTCGTTGACTGTTAGACTTGACGGTCAACCTAACGGCGGTCAACCCTTATTTGACTTTTATACCACATGTCAGCCACATCATACACACGTGGCATTTTTATATTTAAAAAAAATTATTATCTCAATTAAATCAGAAATATTTTTTCAAACATTAAAAAATCATTCCACTTATGCACCAAAATAAAATCCATTGCTCAATCGGGGTATGTTTTCTCCTCCACCTACTCGACTCCTTAATCTCCTTCCGATCACCCTGCCGACAGAAGTCACCGTCTCCACCACTACTCCTACTGCCAATCTCCCTCCCACCACCGCCAACACCTATCTCCTTTCTCGCATCTCTCCTCTCCAGAGATAGCATCAAAGAAGAACCCCCTACCCCCACAAAGGCGGCCGCTCTCTGGCCACAAAACTAAATCTGATCTGCGAGCTCGAAGGCTCCCCTGGCGGCACCAAATCCCTGATCGAATTCAACAAGCCCTAGATCTGATCCGCCATATCGACGACTCAACAAATCGCCAACCTGATATGAAAATAAATGGCGGTTTCATCCACCAGATACATCACGAATTCCCGCCGGATGCAGGAGCTATTGGGGATTTGGCTCGGAAGCTCTGCTGGTGACCGGATTCATCCTTGCCACCATCTTCTGGATCTTGACAACTCGCCGAAAGGGATCTAAGAGCGGCTCGGATTCTTCGCCTTCGCAATGTCGGTGACGCACGACTCAGGGAAAGGAAATTCAAATCGGCGAGAATTTTGGGGCGGGTGGTGGTGGTGGGTTTCAAAATCTATTGGATTCCTTCCCCTCGGCATCAGCTCCGACGTTGACGAGGCTGTCGTCAAAGCTCTCTTCCAGCAGAGATGGCGGTGAGCGTGCCCAGCGATGGCGCTATTTGGGGAAGGAGGAGACAGTGACGATGGTTAGATTAGGGTAGAGATCGGGTTTGGTTAGGATTTCATTTTTATTTTGTTAACTTTTTATTAAAAATATACAATTTAATTTTGTAGTATTAATTTTTTATTTATTTTATATTAAGTGGTGTGCAAAAAAAAATCACATAATATGCCACATCATCGGTCAAAACTTTGACTGTTGACAACTAACGGTCAAAGTTAACGAAAAGAAAAAATAAGGACATAAGTGACGCGGTATAAACCTAGGGGTACAAATGACTCAAACCCTAAACTACGGGCCCTTTTCTGGTATTAGGCCTAAAATTTATGAAACAAACTATGGTGTTGTCAAGGCCATATACAACCCAAAATCCTAATATATCCATGATTTTTCAAAATCCAGATTTAACAAAAACCCTTCATTGGTCTACCTAAAACCTTAAATGTTGAAATCCATGAATCAAGCTGCCCGTTAACATTACATCGAAATAGTACTTGAATACAACATACCGTGAAAATCACAACACATTTATACCTCACCAATATTCAAAAGTTGAATTTAGAAATCCAAACATAAAGTTAGGCAAATGAGAAAACCAGAAAAGAGACAGTAATTCCAAAATCAAAGAGAAAAACGTCGTTGTGCAACCTACAGGTAGAGAACCTACATTGTTCTGAGTCGACCCGCAGGTGTGCAGCGAGCCCATTTTCCAGGTTCAATTCAGGTGGTCGACCCACAGGTTGACAACCTTCAACTCAGATAGAGCTATGGGTGGTTCCACTCCCGGTGAAAGGATTCTACCAGGGTACCATCCGGATCCACCAGATGAATCCCATCATCCCTAACAAGCCAGCTAACGTCATGACCGCCGACGTGGTCAGCTTTCCCATCATATGCGTCGAATGTAAGTCGCCTATCTTGCACTGCCAGCTTGCACCAATAGAGGGACCTCCCAAAAATGTTTGGCGCGAAACCCAATTCGAAACGAGAGCCAACGTCAACGATGTTGGCTCCAATGTCGTCGTCTTTGGATCGACAGTGAACTATCAGCTTTCTTTCCCTCAACTCGTTTTCAATAGAAACAGTCCTGTGCTGGGTCGAGGGACGTGCCCGCAGAATCATTAAGGCCGCAACAACCACTGCCACTCGCAACATCGTGATCAATTTGATCAAGCAATACGTCTTTCAAACTCTCTCTCTCTCTCTCTCTCTCTCTCTACACTCTCTTATGGGAAGCAATACGCTCTATGGGGAGCAAAAGGGTACGTCTCTTTCCTACCACGTTGAAAACGCGCAGCGGCATTTCGTTGGATGCATGCATGGGGTTGGAGTACGTAGAAGAGTATTATGGATCTCTGGCTCTCTGTCTCTCCAATGTTATGATTGATTCCTTCGCCCATCTTATATGGTTTTTGTTTGATATCATGTATGCTTTTGATTGGATCGTGTGAGATGATGTTAATAATAGTAAGTTACCATTTTGAGAGAGAGAGGGGGAAAAAACATGTCAATTTTCCATTTATATGAAATCACAAAAATTTACCGGCAACAAAAATTGTTAACATGAAATTGTAGAAGGGAATGAAGATATTATATAGACAAATAGCCAAATTAGATTTTGCAATTATCCTCAATTAAAATTTCTTTGAAAAGATATCCATTCAAAATTGATGTGAAAAATTAATACTAGAGATTTGATAAGATATTTAGATTGAAGCTCGAGGTTTTTTTTTTTTTTGTGAATTTTACCCTTTTAGTTTCGGTATATCTATCACTTAGAGATTCTATGATTTGAGGTTAAGAATTAGGTAAGATTTTGGTCAACCACAATCAACCCACCCACTTAGTAGCAGGCCACATATTTTACAAGTCACAACCACCAATAGGATCCATCCAAAAATAAGTGAACGGCTATTTGCCGCCAACCAAATTGCTATTTGCCGCCAACTAAAAAAAAAAAAATTGGAATTCAAATTTTGAATTTTCCCTTCCTTCCCTTCCTTTCATTCTATAAATTTGGATACCATTAACTAGGGGTGAACAAACACACCCGCAAACTGACCCACCCGTCCAACCCGAACCAACCCACCCGTATTTATCGCTAAATCGAAGGTTTTGGGTTGAGTGAGGGTTTTGTTTTGTACAACCCGCCGCCTCTTTTGGGTTGGGTTTGGATCGGTAGCAAGTGAGTTTGTAGATTCAACCACCTAATAATCACCTCTAATTGTTTTTATGATATCAGATTGTTCGCGTGTCCAACCTCTAAACCCATGGGTTGATTTACAAGTAGATTACATACAACTTTCTCATCATGTTCAAGTGCTTAAACATTCTCATTTATAATAAGATAGTTTATGTTAGCTATTTTAATCACTTATATTAGGAACATATGTACAAAATACAATTATTGTTCGAACTATTCAAGAGAAGAGAGTATAAAAACATTAAAAATTGAATTTATAATTTATTATAAAAACATGAAAATAACTTCATCTCATAAAATACTAGTGTTTTAGTGAAAAGTACCAACAAAAATATTTTTTATGTAAAAATTATAACTCTTTGTATACCATTGAGCGTAATTCACTTCACGGATAAGTTTTAATTCGATAATATCTTTTTTTTATTATTAGCAAATTCATCTAGTTAACATAAATATTTCTATTCATATATTCTAAGCAAAGGTGGGTCTCGCGGGACACACCTCATATTACTCTTCCTCCACCCTTGTGTATGATATGGTGGGTTTGTGCAACCTCTACCCATGAATTGATCCTCATTATAGAGCGCATGTAAACAACTAGTATACAGTTCATATTCAAACTTCTTTCTGCAACTCGAGTTATCACTTAGTTCATAATCGTCAGACAATCAAGATAGCTTACTTTGAGTGATGCAAACGCCTCTTTTTTCCATCAAAGGTATTCTATCAATCGCTTTTGGAGATGGAGAGGGGACGCTTTGAGTCTCTGATTGATAAGAAGCTTCTCAACAAAGTCCAAACACAATATTTCAAATACATGCATGTTAAATTACAATACATTTTCAAATACTTTCTCAACAACAAATTCGTTTCAGCCTAGGCGCATGAACGAATCATCCATTAATTTCCAGTTAGTGTCGTGGCGAAAACAATCCTTCTCCACTTCTGTCGGGCAACTGGTTCTTCTGCAACATTACCAAAAAGCACCAGATGAGCTCCATCATCCCTGACAACCCAACGAACCTCGTCACCTCGAATCTCGTGGTTTGTCACATCGTAGACGGTGAACGAAAGTCGCTTATCTTGTACCGCCAGGTTGCACCAAACCTGCGCCTTGCCCAACGCAGTAGGATCGAAGCGCCAATACAAAGAAGAGCCCTCTTCAATGACCTGTGCGCTGAGATCCTCGTCTTTGGATTGACAATGGGCTATCAACCTATCCACGCTCAACGCATTCTGGACATGAACATTTGCATAATACGCCTGAGAAGAGGGATTTTCCACAATTAATATGGCTAAAGCTGCCAAAACTAGCTTCCTCATCGTGATGATCAATTTGATCGACGCAGGCAGCCAGGAATCCTGTCTCTCCATGTCTTTTATAGTTCACTGAAGGTAGAAGTAGTAATTTGTTTGTTTTTTTTTTTTTGAAAGAAAGGTAGAAGCAGTAGATAGATGGGGTTTCCTACTGGGTATGAGTTATTCGACAATCTAATTTTTTCTTTTTGTTGACATTTGTACATTTGCCGACCTGGTTTATTCCGGTAACGTACGTACGGGGTCCAGATTTAAGTGATGATGAAACCTAATGGTTATTTTATTTTTCCTATTTTTTAATCGTTGTTTTATTTTTTTCCATTCTAATTTGTACTTCTAAATTTCTTTTTGTGTTCGACAGAATTATATTCATTTTGGTGTCAGTCCAACTTCATTTCGGTGTCAGTCCAACTTCTATTTGTGCCCGGTCCGATCCGGTTAAAATCGGGAAAACTAGATAGCCCAACTTTAGCCCGTCGCATCTCTCCAGCCACCCACCTCATCCAACAACTTAGGCCGAGTCCCAACTACAGGCCACACCAACCCTGCCCAAATCCCCAAGACCCAACTACACAACCCTAAATCGTCTCCCTCACATCGAAAGCAGTCGCGCTTCTCCAATCTCTTCACTTCTCTCCGATCTCTTCCTAACTGCAAAGCAAAAAGAAAAAGAAAAACCCATCACCCTCCCAACTCCCACCCTGCCGTCAACACCCAAATCTAACCCTCCTCTCTCTTGTCACTCTATTCTCTAATCTCACCCACCCTCTCTGCTTGCCTCTCATCCGACTCCTTGGCGGCGGCGGCGACGAGACGACCGATTTGGAGCGGTCGCAGGTCTGCCTCTCTCTTCTCAGTCTCACATGCCGATTTAAAGCGGCCGTCGCTCTACTTCTTCTCCGATCGAAACAAGCATGACCTGCCTCCCTCTGAATCTCTCCCATATCGAAGCATGCAAGACCCACCTCCCCCATTTTGCCTCCCTCGGTTTCTTTGTGGGTTAGAATTTAAGAAAGAACGGAATAGGGAAGGGATGGGATGAGAAGTGGACCAGGTCAGTAACCCTTAATCCCTTATGGTGAGTAATCATTAGTAACCTGTCCACATCAGCATCCCCTCTCTCCTGGAAAACTTTTTATCTTTTCCCCTTTAATCTTTAACGGACTATTTTTTTTTTCGTTTTAAGTCGAAATTTAATTTTTTTTGCACAAATATATCAGATTAAATGTGCTCTTAAAAATGATATTCATTTTGATATATTTTTACTATAAAAAATTGAGTCATTTTTTACTAGTCATTACCATATGATATGCTCCTATTTAATACCATATATTAGGAATCCTGTATAGTAAGAGAGCGTACCATGATCGTATGAACAAACCAATATGGTAAGAAGGTTGAATACATGATAGTAGGAGTATACTAATTGCCATTTACGACTTTCATCATTGTTTACTACAAGTTACCACTCACATACCATAGTGGTAAAGTATGGTAATTTTTGGTCCAGCATTTTTTTCACCTATAAATTTCTAGATCCAATAGATCATGATGAACTCATTCCTTCTGAGCAAACGTTTTAAAAAACGACTTAAAACGAAGAACCCACCATATGGTATGCAGTTGGTAACGGGTAGGGATGACAATTTCGACCTGACTCGTTTTACCCGACCTGTTTGACCTGTTTTGGAGCGGGGCGGGGCGGGCATGGGTAGTATGCGATTTGTAATGCCAACTAGTATGCGAGATGCATTATTAGTACCGCTGTCTACACCCCTCATCATCCAAAGAGGGCAGTGTAGGCACCTCCACTCCTTCAAAGTCACCTAGGTATTCATTCGATTGAGGAGACAATGAATTAGGGAAGAGAGACTAGAGAGAGCCATTTGGTTGGAGCTTCAATTACGTATTCAAATTCAGACGACATCTAGCTAGTAATTTCAGAACAACATTCAACAATCCAATAATCGAGTACCATTCCTAGTAATGTCGTGGGGCAAAAAGTATGCTTCTCCACTTGTGTCGGGGAATCGGTTCAGGAGAATTGATCCAAAGCGCCAGATGAGCTCCATCATCCATCACAACCCAATCAACAAAATTGCCTCCAATATCGTCACCTGATGATCGATCGTAGACAGTGAAAGAAAGACGTCTATCTTCTACCGCCAGATTGCACCAGAACAGCGTCTCACTGACTGCCTCGAAACTCCAATGAAGAGAAGAGCCCTCCTCAATGACCTGTGCGCCAATATCGTCGTCTTTGGATCGACAATGGGCTATCAACCTTTTCCCCGCGCTCAACGCATTCTTGATATCAACCTTTGCAGCATTCGCCTGAGAAGAGGGAACTTCTTCCGTAATTAATAATATGGCTAAAGCTACCAAAACCACTAGCTTCCTCATCATCGTGATTATCAATTTGATCAATGCAGAAATTGTATATCTCTGATCTCCATTTCTCCTGCTTTGATATAGTGCGCTGAAGGTAGGTAGGAGCATCACAGCAGAGTAGCTAAGCTAGAAGGGGTTTAATTACCCACTGTTTATGAATGATTCGGTCATCTAATTTTTTGTTTTTGTTGGCATACGACTTTTGCCGGCCAGGTTTATAACTTTTTTAGGGATATTTCCAGGATCAAATCAACAGAGAGCAAAGAGTTTATAGCATTTGACAATGCATACTAAGTAAATACTCCGTTTAATACGTACGTGTATATATATAGATGTATATTAATATCAATCAAATTATTTCTTTTAAATTAAGAAAAAATGGAAATGCTAATGAAAAAAATCAACGGAAAGACGAATGATAGTTTTGATTTTTCGGTCCACTTCGAAGGTTTTAAACATGTAAATTTATTTAGTTCAATGGATAATTTGAACATTATATATATATATACCATATATGTATATATATATATTAATACTAAGCATCGTTTAGACATATTTCTAATTTAGCGACAAAGTAAACTTTACGTACATATTTTATAGCTAGTTAACTTATCCGTAACATATTTTACCTATACAAGGAGCAATATAAACTGGAGTAGAAGAGTTTTGGCTACCACACTACTCGTATGGTTTATGACCGATCAATTGTTCGCCCACCCGTGTTTTATTTCGTTGACATGTTGTGGTGTTGGCGCCCCGACGGTTTGTACCATGAATAAAAGAAATTTCTTAGCTCCAACCTTGTTACCAATAACAAACTGATATATTGGATGGTTGGAACTTCTGCGTCCAACCAAAGTTGGAGTTAAGAATTTTCCATTAAGGAATATACTGGGACACACCTCAAATTACTCTCCTTAATTCCACCCCTGTGTATTACGATATGGTGGGTTTATGCAACCTCTAAACCCATGTATGGAACTTTGTTTTCAGAGAATGTGTAAAAAAAATGGGGTAAATGACACATTTGGTCACTGAGATTACTAAATCGTGTCATATTTAGTCACTAGAAAAATTTAATATCAATTTTGGTCACTCGAATTACTGACACAGGTCACATTTGGTCACTCTTCTGTAGCCTCTGTCCAACTCCGGTCACTCGAATTATTGAAAAATGTCACATTTAGTCACTCGTATTACTGAAACATGTCACATTTAGTCACTCTCCCAAAAGTTTCCGTCCAACTACATTAATGGATTTGGACGGAAACTGACGGGAGAGTGACTAAATTTGACCAGTTTCGATAATTCGAGTGACCAAAATTGATATTAATTTTTTCTAGTGACTAAACATGACACAATTTAATAATCTCAGTGACCAAATGTGTCATTTACCCAAAAAAAAAAATGGCATACAAAGTTCCACTTTTTCCTTTTTTCTCTCTCTGGTATAGCACTAAATCCAATGGTTGTTTCGGCTGCTGTTTGGCAACTGCCAAGGGTTGTGCTTTGCTTCTGTAGGCGCTCTTAGCTGTCAGATTTCTGTCTCTTTTTTATTTTATTTTTTCCTTTCTTCTCATATTTAATTTTCTGAATATACACAATAATTTTCCGTACCATGTCTCCAATAATTAACCACAATCCATCATAAAATATAACATAAAAACAACAAATCTCTCAATTCCCAAATGAACCAAATTCATCACCAGTCGTTTATTGTCCTAATCCCATAATTTGCCACAAAACCCTCAATTTCAAATCCTTAATCCAAATCAACTCTCAATTATGGTTTTTAACTAGATTCAATCAAGATGGTCCCAACTCAATACTACTATTTGGGAGGCTCTCCAAAAACATGGCTCTTGCACCAGGTTCGGCTGAAAATCGTCCCAGAACCGCAATTGTGGCAGTACTACTTCCAAACTTCTCAATGCCTCTCGAAATCATACATGTGTGTGCAGCCTCTACAACCACCATGACATCTCCACCTACCAAAGAAGAAACAACCTCTGCAATTTGCCTGGTCAGTCTTTCTTGAACTTGGAGCTTGAAACCGTAAAAATGCACTATCGATCGCAGAAGGGACTTGGGAACACGATTGAACCCGAAGTACCCAATATGCACGACTCCATAAAAGGGCAGCAAATGGTGCTCACACTGAGACCAAAATGACAAGTTTAACTCTATCTGCAACTGCTCTTCCTTGTGGTTTGCTAGATTTTTACCATAGACAAACCCATTCAACTTCATCTCGAAACCGGTGTTTCGAAAATTCATCAGCCACTTCACGAAACGAACCGGAGTGCCAACTAGCTCTTCTCTCACTGGGTCTTCCCCTAAACACCTGAGGATCGAATCCACCGCGGTAACCATCCCTGAGTCGAGTTGTCCCTCTTTATAAGAAACCTTCAGACTCGAACAAGATCGCGACCGTGACCATGGAGCTACAAACTTGAACTTCAGAAGGCTCAAAAAGTCGTTCCAGCTTTCACCCTCATCAACATTGTCAAAAACACCTGAACCCGAACGAACCAAAACCCAGCTCGACCATCCCTCGCGATTGGAGTCCATAACGAAGGACTCCAAGCTCGGATGCCAGCATTCGAGCACGATGGCAACACCTGTTGGCTTGATCCAACGGTGAAGCGCGGAACAGACTTCATCGGCTAGGCGCTGTGGGTCCTGGAGTCGCTTGGCGAAGACATCAGCCACCCTGGAAAGCTTGCTTAACCCTAAAACTCTCTGGCCTGATGGAATGTAACCGACGTGGCACTTGAACTGGAAAGGAAGCATGCATGACTCACAGTAGGAGAATAGATCGAGATCTCGGACCACAACGAGGCCCCCAGCTCCGCCTGCATCTCCCACTGCAGCATCCAGACCGGCTTCGGGGAACAAAGCTCCCTCAACTATGTCCTTCACCTTTTGCTTATATCCTGTAAATTTATTTTTAGGAAACTAAGAAAGAAGAAATAGATAAATGTAAAATATTTAGAGAATTACAGAAAAAATCACTCTAGCTAATATGAAGTGAGTCTTTTTCTCAAATCCTTTTTATAGATTTAATGATATAAAGCATTGGTATATAGCATTGGTGCTATATACCAATGCTATAAAGCAGAATGTGACAACACCTTTCAATATATTTTATGACGAGGAATTTTACAATGCTATATAGCATTGGTGCTATAAGTTTTTATCTTAATGTTACAACTTGAAATTGTACCTTTAATGTTATGGTACAACTTCAGATTGTACCTATACTTTTTGTACAAATTCATTTATGGTACAACTTAAACTTGTACCTTATGTGATGGTACAACTTCAAGTTGTAAAATTGTATCATAACATAATGATACAAATTCGTTTATGGTACAACCTAAATTTATACATTTAATGTTATTGTACAATTTCAAGTTGTACATTAAAGCACAAATACTATATAACATAGTAGAAGTGATAATTTTATGACATGTCTCATATTTTTCATATCAAGAAAACTCCAACCTCCCAACTATCAAATTCTGGATCTACCCGGTCAGACCCATTTAAACAATTAACTGCAGATTCACTTCCCATCTGCCATCTGGGCCAATGGGAGACATGTATAGGAAAAAAGGTGGCACCTTTAGTGGCTTCTCGCAGCGCCTTGGCAACACGAAATGGAGTCTTTTTGATTCCTTCTCTATTGATATCCTCTCCCAAACCTTGTAAGAGGACTTTGACAGCATCCTCAATCGCCAAAGTCTGGGGTTGCCTCTCAATCCCCTCACCCAAATCGTCCATTTACAGAACCACACCAGAAGCACAAACAATTCAGAGCAAAACCTGGCCAGAGCAAGAGGATGAAAGGTGTTAATAACGGATCGCAATAATCGACCATGCAGGAATGTAAATAACACAGAGACTTACGTAGTTCACTGACACAATGCGTATTAGTTAGTTAGTCCACAAGTATGAGAGAAACAATTTCACTATATTTTTGGAGATTACAGAATACAGAGGGCCGGGCCTCATGACTTCCAATTCGCGGAAGATAATTCAAATTCAAGTTATTCAAAAAAAATGACAATCTAAGGATGGCGAAAAGGAGGAACTAGGAATAGAGAGAATGAAAGGGGTAAGAAGGGAAGTGGGTTTGGAGACTTTGTGGGAGAGCTCATTGTGGCTTTTCAGCTATCGTTCTCTTCTGCTGCTGTTGCTAACACTAGAGTCCATAATATATAAGTTTTACTCCACAATTCAAATTATTGGATTCACTTGATTATGATAAAAATGGAAGAGGGAAGAAGTTGCTAAGAATGGTAATCTGGAATTCTAAAAAGCTCTAGAATTATCTGGGAAAATGGATAAGCTTTAATGGTTCTCGTCTCCATCTCTCATAACGTAGAATAAATGCTGTGGTAAGAACCAAGAAAACCAACAAAGACGACCGCAGCAGCTGAAAGAGAAGTCCTTATCACTTGAGAAAATTTTCTGAATGGAAGTATGGGCTGGGGAATATGGAGAATTATGAAGCAGACAAAGGGTGCCGATAAGATGATAAACCCTTAGCCAATTATTGGCGCAGGAAATTTGAAATCTTATTTAACGTATCTTTGGCTCTTTTGTAATCCGCCCTTTTCTTCGAGGCCATACCACGTATTTGTGTTCGTTTATGGCAAGTTGGCAACCGAGACTGAGACTAGATAGAGAGCTACAACAGTTCATTTTTGAAAAAAAATGGAACTATCTATGGAGGAATCTTTTGGAAAGAATTACCAAAATTAATCTCATATCCACAGAATTACCAGCTGAGCTTTTACCACATTCGCTGAGTTTAGATCGTCGCACGTTCTTGCTTACCAGTTTTTCATTACCAGGATTTTCCTCCCCTGTCTCTGAAGTGTCGATTTGACATTCTTAGTACTAGCTAGATTTTTTTTTCACGATAATAATTAGTATGATACTAGTTAGCTCTTGATTACCGAATGATAAAACAAACGAATTGATGGCGTGAGTTTGATAACTCTTCTTAGAATGCTTTTTTTTTTGTCGCAGTTACGATTTTCGGTAAGATTAGACGAATCATTAATAGAAGTCGCTTCACCAGAAATCTGAAGCGGCAACTTGCTGAGTTATGTATTTGTGATACAGAAAAGAAAGGAAGATGAAGAACAAATTAGAACATAAATTATTTATTAATCCTCTCTAACTTGTGGCCTATATTCAATTAATCAATAAATTTCATCCTTATATAAAAAAAGAACAAATTAAAACTTAATTCTAGTAGAAATAGACTTATGTTGTGAAAAATAGGTTTCCTTTTTAAGAGTTACTTTGTTTCACGAAATTTAAAATTAATTGATCGTTCGAAATTAATTTTGATAATCGAAATTAATTAATTAATTATGAAAAATCTATTTCAAAAAATTAAAATTAATTAATTATAAATATATGCACCTGTCAGCGAAGTCATGAGAAAATCAATAAGTCAAGACAATGGACATAAGCAACTTACATATATTTCCTTCATTTTCAGGCAATACGAACACTTCTAATTGTTCCATGTACTTAATCAACATTTAAAAATGTCATTGTTCCATGTACTTAATCAACATTTAAAAATGTCATCTTAACGTACTTTTGATGCACGAACATATTACAAACACCATTATGATGAACAAGGGATTGGACTAGTGGTAATACCAGTAGCCATGAACCTGGAGGTCCCAGGTTCGAGTCCCTTCAGTAGTACCTAATAAAAAAAAAACATATATCACCCTTATCTAAAAAAAATAACACCATTATGGAAGTGATTCTCAGTATGTTCAAGTGCTCGTGGTGTAAAAACGTGGTATGAGATTCGTACTAGAGCTTTTCTCTTCCATTCGAGTTATGAGTTAGTTCTTTTTATATGTAATAAGCCGTTTGGTTTCATCAACTTGATTTTTTTTTTTTAAAGAAGCATAATTATGAAAACAATAACAAAGCCAGGCGCATGAATAATGCATCATCCATTAATTCCTAGCTAGTGTCGGGGGAAAAAGAAATTAAATCCTTCTCCACTTCTGTCGGGCAATAGGTTCTTCCTCATGATCCGAACGCAGCACCAGATGAGCTCCATCGTCCCTCACAACCCAACGAACAGTATAACCTCGAATCTCGTCATCATCTTCGTCGTAGGCAGTGAAAGAAAGACGTCTATCTTCTACGGCCAGGTTGCACCAATACAGCGTCGTGCCCAACAAAAGAGTCTTGAAACTCCAATGAAAAGAAGTGCCCTCTTCAACGAGCTGGGCGCCAAGATCGTCGTCTTTGGATCGACAATGGGCTATCAACTTCTTGCCGCTCAACGCATTCTTCAGATCGACCTTTGTACGGTCCTGCTGGGAAGAAGGATCTGCCATGATTAATATGGCTAAAATGCCATAACCACTCCTACTGGATATTTTGTGGCGACTACTACCAGCTTTTTCATCGTATCTCTCTGATCTCCATTGCTCCTGCTTTGATATATAGTGCACTCAAAGCTACGTAGGAGCATCAGAGAGGAGCTAGCTAGAAGGGCTTTCCTACTGTTTATGAATGAATGAATGAATGATTCGCCCATCTAATTTTTTGTGTTTGTTGGCGTTGTACTTTTGCCGGCCAGGCTTATAACTTTTAAGAGATACCAAAGAATATTAAGAATGAGAGCAATTAGGTGATAAGGAAACAATTCATTTATTGGGTTTACATCAACCACGGTGAAGCTGATGATAAAAACACTTACATAAGATTTACCTGGTGTCTTAATTATTGGTGTCTTAATTATTACGAAAGAATTATGTAATATGTTTGTCTGATTGATATATAAGAAACTATCTCGTCATCCTTCATAAGTTTTACATAGTGTATTTCAATAACGGTTATAGAATGGTGTTAGATAATCTTCCGTAACATGTGGTCTAATAACTATTCTTTTTTTTTTCTCGTATATATTTTATATCTAAACCATAACTATTTTATCAATAGCATTATTTATAGTAATTATTCTTTTCTTTTATGCTTTCTTGGTATGTTTTTTGTATTTTTCAAAGTAAAATAAAGCCTAGGAGAACTTGGGTATAAAATTGGATGATTCTCGAGGACAAAAGGAGCTACAGAGAGCAGAATATGAAGTTTTCATGTAAAAGAAGAGATCCAATGACGAAGAAACCTACTAGAAACCACGAGTAGAGCCTAAAGGAGCCCAATGAAAGAAGGCTCGACCCAAAAAAGTGCAAGAACCAGCAAATCCATTCAAAACTTTTGTAGGCACCTGTTCGATTGAGAACTTAGCATTCGTAGGTGATGGTGTAGCTAAAGAGAGGTGGTCCCTCCTACTCTTCTATGTGTAGCTTCGAAATTAATTGTGTAGGAATGTGAACTCGTTTATCTTTTTATGTATTATTGCCATGATTTCATACGATGCTTGTGTTTATGCTTATAAATTACATTGTCTATCATGTGTCTATATGGATGCTTTTAGTTTAGATGCTTATGTGATGATTATTGATGTTTATCTAGTATGAATGCTTTCTTATTATTGAAGCTTATGTTTTATAATTTACTACTATATGTATTGTGTATTAATGCTTTCTTATGAGGATTTTTCCCCATAGTACACATGTTCTCATGAAAAATCCACAAAATACCGACATATTATGAAATATTCCCAATCTACACACGTTTGGACAAAACCGCGACCGTCAGATGTGGTGAACAGTATTATCGCGGCTGTCCGAAGTGATCAATGTATCATCGAGCTCGTCGCAAGCGATGAATGCTTCCTGGTCATTACACCTTCATCGCTGGAGTCAGAAGTAGTGAATGTTTGCTGGTCATTCACCGATGTAGTCCTAACCTATGATAAAAGTCATGAACAAAATGTCCCGCCAAATGGCCTTTGTATCATCCATTATCAGGTCCAAACATACAAAAACAGGGGAAAAGAGCCAACGACTGTGCAAGTTTTATATGATTGTCAGCCACAAATGATACCCAGCAGCCGAAAAGATTCACATTTTCAGACTGAGGAAGGGAAAGAACCTGTAGACGAAATTGGACGATAAGAAAAGAGCCGGCCGTCCAACAGCAATGGAGGACTCATTTGGCCGGACAATACCTTTTTTTCGGTCGGAACTCGGAACTAGTCAACTTAGTAACCCAATAAAAAGCAATTCGGACTCCAGAAAGAGATACGTACGTACATGCATGCCAATTGGCTAGACGCACACACCCGCTCCCATGGCACATTTTTACCGACATATGATAAAATTGGACGATAAAAAAAGATTAGCATGGTCTTTGCGCAAGAACGAAACATAAAATTAAAACCTCCCCATGGGCTATAAATAAGCCTATGTCCAAGAGTTCCAAACCATTCATCCCTCCCTCCAACAATCGTCATTGCAAATCTCCAACTTCTTCTTCGTAAGTTAACATTATGGCCGCAACTAAATCACCCGTCTTTCTTCCTCTGGTGCCGACCATTGCCACTTTACTAGTATTGGCAGCAGCAGCGTCGTCCTTCGCCGCCGGAGAATCCCAAACCTCCTTCGCCACAAAGAAGCAGCCAATGACGATGAAGAAAGCAAAGCTGACGCACCTCCACTTCTACTGGTCCAACATCCGTAGTGGGCCCGAGGCCACGGCCCAGATCGTCGCCCCGATCCTCAACAACGCGACTTTCTACGGGACGGTGGCCCTGAACGACGATACGCTGACATTGGGCCCGAACCCTGACAACTCGACGTCGGTGGGGAAAGCCCGTGGGCTCTACCATTTCCCATCCAATACGACGGCTTTGGTTTACGAGATGGTGTACAACTTCGCCTTCACTTACGGAGACTACAACGGCAGCTCCATCTCTCTTTTGGGTTCCGTCTTCCCGACGTCAGGAACGGCCAACGAGCTCTCCGTAGCCGGCGGCACGGGCGTTTTCCGCTTTGCTCGTGGATACGCCGTCTTGAACTTTTTCTCGTTTGATCCCATACGTACCTTGGTCGTCAACGAGCTCGACGTCTACGTTTCGCATTACTAGCTTCGGCATCCAAAATTGGCTTATGAGACATCCTATACAAATTCATTATTGTTGTTGTTGTTGTTTTCCTTCTGCTTCTTCTATCTTTTCATAATTCCATGAAGGTATGTGTATGTGTGCTTATTTATTTAATTTTCAACAGTAATCAATAAAATGTTGTATTGTTTTTCGATTTACATATATGTCCTCCTGTTTATCTATAGAAAAATAAATTAATATCATAACGATTGTGTTCAAAAATTGGTTGTTATTAATAAGGCTAATTTTATTATGTTGATTAAATTGGTTTAAATTGAGCCTACGTAACTTACTTTTGGGCTATCCCCATATTGTCATGCGAGATACCTTAGTACCTTAGTCTAGGGGTGGCAGAACGGTTTTCGGTTAGCAGTTAACCGGACGGTTTCAACCGAACCGACCGGTTTTCGGCTAACCAAAAAAACCGATTCTAAATGCATCGGTCGGTTGGCGGTGGGGAAGGGTAGGGGTTCGGCTAGCCGACTAACCGGGGTCGGAAACCGGCGGTTAACCGGCTAACCGACCCCTTCCCTTTCCCCAAAAACGACTGTGCAGCTTCAGTCCCCCACCACTAACCCTAATCCGCTGCCCTCCTCCTCCCAATTCCCAAATCCATCCCTTCTCACGACCCCTTCCCTTCTCCCTCACGACCACCGCCGCCCTCCTTCTCCCTCACGACCGTCGCCACCTCCACCATCGTCGACATCGCCCCGCTGCCTCCACCCTCGCCGCCCCGCCGCCACCACCAGCCTCAACTCGCCGCCTCAACTCGCCCCGCCTCAACTCGCCGCCGCCGCGCCTCTGCTTCTGCTCTGTGTTTCCAGATCTGAAATGGAAGAAGGAAGGAGGGAGAAGGAAGGAGTGGTGAGTGTTGTCTGTTGTGGGTTTGAAATGGAGGAAGGAGAGAGAAGGAAGAAGTGGTCTGTTCTCTGGTGGGTGGAGAGGAAGAAGATAAGGATTTAGTGGTAGGGAATTTTCGTTTTTTTTTTATTTTTTTTAGAGAAGGGAGTATTTTTGGGTATGCGATTAACCGAACCAAAACCGATAACCGACCGGTCGGTGGTCGGCTAGTCGTGGTAACCCTCACGGTCGGTGGTCGGCAATAGAAGGTGGTTACTCGGTTTAACCGATAATCGAGAAATCGGTTTTCGGTTAAACCCAAACGACCGACTGCCACCCCTACCTTAGTCTACAGCCCGTCATCATCAACCCCGATGCATGACGTCCTTCGAGGGGGTCAAATCATAAACTAGTATTAATGAAAATCGTTTGTACCAAAGAATTCAACTCAAATAGCCAAACACCATCAAAATTTCAAATCATAAACCATATTACCGAATTTGCCGTCATTAGTCACAACCATTACTCACCCAAAATCAAGATCGACTTCCAACTCATATATTAGGCTCAAATTAATTTAGTCGAATGAATATAAACTAAACCTTATACGAGTTACGAATTAATCAAAAGAAACTCAAAATACTAACTTTAACCAACTAACATTAATTCCCAAAATCCTAAAATCAACCCATAAACTAAACTTGACCCGCGGGTTGACTACCTTGATCTAATGCATTTCCTGGACACCCAAACGTCATTCTCCCCAATCCCAACAACGGAACCACTAACCAAATATTTAGGCACTCTAACTCTAAGTAGTAAATGGAGATGATCAAGAAATGAAAATAAAGGCTAGAGACAAACCTAGAAGTTAAGAGACAGTGGAACTATATCTTCAAGGGGGGAAAAAATGAAAGAAAAAAGTTGTTAACCATTATTATTACTCCACTCTCGCCGGTAGGATTGTTCTTCAGAACCATCCCGATTCAACAGATGAGCTCCATCATCCCTCACAGCCCAGGAAACATCGTGACGGGAAATGTGGCGATCATTTCCATCATATGCGGTGAAGGAAAGACGTCTGTCTTCCACAGCCATGTTGCACCAATACAATGTATCACGAACTGCCCCGAACCCCCAACGCAAGCTCGAGCCGACGAGGACGACGTGACCTTCGAGATCATCGTCCTTGGATCCACAGTGTGCTATCAGAATCTTATGGCTCAGCTCATTTTTAACATCGACCATCCTCCCGCTCGACGTCGCCCGACGTGCGTGCAGGATTATTATCATCGTCAAGGCCGCCAAGAACAGCTGCTGCTTCCTCATCGTGTTCAATTTAAGTTGTTGCAAAACAGAAATATTCGATCTCTTTTTTGCTGCTTTTATGGTGCGTTGATGAGTAGAAACTAATGTTGCCTGCCGTCCGGCCGGTTTATACCTTTAAGGGAATCCTGGGAGATCGATCAATAAGCTGTATAAACTAAAAAAAAAAAAAACTCAACTTTATTTAGATGAGAAAAATGTATTGAGCCACGGGGAATTTGGTGGGGATGATAGAAGCTGTAGATAGATGTGGGTTCCTACTTGTTATGAGTTATTCGTCCATCTAACTTTTTCTTTTTGTTGACATTGTACTTTTGCCGACTCGGTTTATAACAGGCCGGGTAGTGATGGATTCGGAATTTTTTTTTGTAGTTGTGTTCTCATAACAAAATTAAATTAAATTGTAAATTAAAAAAATTTAATTAAATAATTCATAAATCAAAAAATATACGATGACTATAAATTTTATCGAAAGGTCATTAGGTGTTTTCAAATTTTATCAAAAGGTCATTACAAATTTTATAAAAAAATATCCAATGTCTACACGGCTCAAAGTCTAAGAAAGTATGTATTCCCCTCAATGGTTCGTAAATTTTTTAGTATTATCGTTTAACCTGTAATAAAAACCAACTCATCAATTTTCTATCTTTTTAAATTCATAATTAAAACACGACAGTCCGTAATAGTGATTAGTCACATACATAATGCAGGGTCCGGAGACCTGTGCTAGAGGGCTTGCTGGCACACCCTCAAGGCAGCGGCAGATCTAGGGGGCTGACCCCGAACCACGGCCCAGCCCTACCTGAATACATTGTAAATTTTCGATTTTGGGTATATATGTCAATGTTTATAGGGTTATGGCCCAGCCCTCCCCACAGCTTTTTAAATGAGGATCCGTATTCTAACCTGTTCTGGATTCGCTGCTGCCTCAAGGCCGGACCTGACATTTACGAAATGGGCGATTGAGTGGTGATTGCATTCACCTATTGTGCAATGATGATTTCTTCGCCCCCTCTGATTTTTTTGTTTGTTGAGATGTGATGTTGCCGGCGGCCCCGTTTATACCTTTCCCTTTAAGGGAAACGATAAGCTGCCACACTTAGATATCTCAGTTTCTATACATAAGAAATCATCACAAAAATAGTGATCGATCCACTCCCGAAAATTTATAAAATATTTATTTCTCGAATGATCTGATCGACCAATGATATCGACAAGCAGCCCTGTGGACTGACATTTGCAGATGAGAAAGAACTTGTAGATGATCTGCGATGTGAGTGCAGTACTATCAAATAAAAAGAGCCGTCCAGCATCAATGAATACTCTCTAGAACATCATTTTTGTCGGTATATTTTATAGCTAGAAAGGAAACGATCATCAAGAACCAGTTGATCCCAATAACTCGAATTGTTGGAAAAGGTTCAATCGTGAATCATATACCATTCACTAACAACGACACCAAAATAACATTCTCACTGAATCAAATTTTGTTTGCTTTGTTTGTGTACGTATCATAAAAGTCATGAACAAGATGTGCTGGCAACTGGCTTTTGTATCATCAATTATATATCAGTTCCGAAAAAATATAAAAGCCAGCGGCTGTGCAACTTTTATTAAATTCTCCGCCACCAACGAGACCGGCGGCCGATCAAAAAAGATTCACATTTGCCGACGGGAAAGAGAAAGAATTAACCAAGCAATGAATAAAATAATTCGAACTCCAGAAAGTGATACGTACATGCATGCCAATTCACTAGAGACACACGGATAAAATTGGACGATACAGAAAAGATTAACATGATTATTGTACGAGATGAAATGCATATAATAAAACCGCAACATGGGCTATAAATAAGCCTACGTCCAGACTTCCAAACCACTCATCTCTCCAATCTCCATTCCAAATCTCCAACTTCTTCTTCGTCAGTCAGTCAATCAACATTATGGCCTCAACTAAATTGTCCGTCTTTCTTCCTCTCCTAGTGACGCTACTACTGGCAGCATTATTATCGTCCTTGGCCGCTGCAGAATCTCAAACCTCCTTCGCCACAAAGAAGCTGTTTACGATGAAGAAAGAAAAGCTGACCCACCTCCACTTCTACTGGTCAAACTTCCAACGTGCGCCCACGGCCGTGAGCGTCGCCCCGATCCTCAACAACGCGACTTTCTACGGCGCCGTGACCATCAACGACGATACGCTGACGTTGGGCCCTGACCCAGATAATTCGACGTCCGTGGGGAAAGCCCGTGGGCTTTACCATTTCCCTTCGAACACGACCAGCTTCGTCTACGAGATGATATACAGCTTCGCCTTCACTTACGGAGACTACAACGGCAGCTCACTCTCCCTTCTGGGTTCCGTCTTCCCGTCACTGTCGGGAACCGCCAGCGAGCTCACGGTCGCCGGCGGCACGGGCGTGTTCCGCTTCGCACGTGGATACGCCGTCCTGAAATTCGCCTCGGGTGATCCGAAACGCAGCTTGCTCGTCAACGAGCTTGACGTCTACGTTTCCCATTACTAGTTTGGTTTACGTAGCTTAGCTACAGAAATTCATTACTATTGTTGCGGTTTTTTCTTTCTGCTTTTTCGATCTTTTCATTCCATGAGAGGTATGTGTATCAGTTTATGTGTGCTTACCTATTTAATTTTTCAATAGTACTAATTAATCAATAAAATGGCGCTGTATTGTTTTCCTATTTACATATGTGCAAACTATGACATCATACATGTTTGACACGCATGTCAAGTTTTATCCTTTCTCTACAAATAGCAATAGGAGTAGGTTCTAGACCTCTCACTGAACTTACATAGTTGTACGTAGTTTATATCAACATGCTGTATCCTAGCTGGAGCTAATTTTGAGAAGTTCAATCATTTTTATCATTAAACCCGAACCGTATTTGAACATCTATGACTCTTTCGTCGGATGGAAGGCTTGGTTCAATCGAGGAGACCATTAATGGTTGGAGTTCATTTGAAATTTCGAAATGGACAATGACGGATTAAATTAGGAAGATGTTTAGCAATTTTAGATGACATTTAGCAATCCACCACCACCGGCGCCTCAGTCTTCTCACCCGGCGCTTGTTCCGCGGTCGCCACAGTGACCGCGACGGTTGCGGTCTACTTCGCACCGGCCGTCGTCTCCCTGGTCTTTCGCGGTGATGATGACAGACCTTGCGGTGCTATCGCCGCCTTCATCAGTTCCATCAGCGACCGTAGGTCGTCACAGTTCCTTCTTGTCATCTTTTGAAGGGTTTCGTTCACCTCACCCATACGAACATGGAGGCTGATCTGATGATCTGTCATTGTCCTCAGCAGGCTCTTGATATCTTCCTCGAGGCTGATGTCCTCCACCGTCACGGTGTCCTACAGTCTCTTCTCCGGGGATTGGTCTGAAGAGCTCATCTTTCTTCTAGCCCATACGCAAACCATGCTCTGATACCACTTTAAGAAAGCTGGGATCTAGGCGTCTTGCGTCTAAGGCTCTGCGATCAGGATCAATAGGGAATTGGGGATTAGGGATTGAATAAGGATATATAAGAGAGGATTGAGGGAAAATACGGGGAGAAGAAATGAGGAGGGTCGGCAACCAGGGTTGGCCGACGAAAATGATGATGGGGTTGGGGAAGGGATTCGGCTGAAAAGAGAGAGAAGAAGGAGATTAGGATTATGGGAATTCTGTTATGTATTTGCTTAATGAGTAATTACCCACTAATTAAAAAATATATAACCCGAATAATTCCCGCTAACTACCTCAATTAACAGTTCTTAACGAAAATAACTGAATAATCCTCAAATGCGCCCAAAACCTCCGAATAATATCCAAAATAATCCAAACATGAATATAACGACAAACAAGTCCAAATACTGAAATCACCCAACAAATGGATTTCTAACATATCACTAGGACCTAAGGCTCACTCATTAAAGATTAGAGTATAGTTTATTCGAGATCTAGATATCATTTTTTTACTCAGCATATGCTATATGTCATGGGATTTCTCAGCCTTCTCTGATTTTTGTGTGTTGTTGAGATATGATGTTGCCGGCTGCCCCGTTTATACTTTTTCCCTTTAAGGGAACCGATAAGGTGCCACATTTAGATATCTCACTTTCTATAGAGAAGAGATCATCGCAAAATATAAAAAACAGAAGTAAAAAAAGGAAAGAGCCGATCGAAAAGATTCACATTTGCAGACGGGAAAGAGAAAGAACGTAACCAGTAGAGAAATTGGACGATACAGAAAAGAGCCGGCGCGCATCCAGCAGCAAATGAATAAAATAAGTCGAACTCCAGAAAGAGATAAGAAATTAGATCCGACGGCATCTCTTCAGTGACATATGGTAAAATTCGACGATACAGAAAAAATATTAGCTGCATGAACTTTGTGCGATGAAACGCATATACAAAAAACCGCCCCGTGGGCTATAAATAAGCCTCATGTAGTCCAGAGTTGCAAACCATCCATCTCTCCAAAATCTCCATTGCAAATCTCCAACTTCCTCCTAAGTCGACATTATGGCTGAAACTAAATCCTCCGCCGTCTTTCTTCCTCTCCTAGTGACGCTTGCCACTTTAGTACTGTTGGCATTATCGTCCTTGGCCGCTGCAGAATCCCAGGACACCTCCTTCGCCACAAAGAAGCTGCCTATGACGAAGAAGAAAGAAAAGCTAACCCACCTCCACTTCTACTGGTCCAACTTCCAACGTGCGCCCACGGCCGTGAGCGTCGCCCCGATCCTCAACAACGCCACTTTCTACGGCGCCGTGACCATCAACGACGATACGCTGACGTTGGGCCCGGACCCAGATAATTCGACGTCCGTGGGGAAAGCCCGTGGGCTTTACCATTTCCCTTCGAACACGACCAGCTTCGTCTACGAGATGATATACAGCTTCGCCTTCACTTACGGAGACTACAACGGCAGCTCCCTCTCCCTTTTGGGTTCCGTCTTCCCGATATCAGAAAAAGCCTGCGAGCTCACGGTCGCCGGCGGCACGGGCGTATTCCGCTTCGCTCGTGGATACGCCGCCTTGAAATTGTTAGTGGAGTCGAGCGCGAGACTCAGGCAGCAATTTCCTTGTTCGATCGATCGGTTGTACCCTGAAAACCCTAGCTGCGATTTTGGTAGAATCAAGTGAAAGAGGGTGAAGTGAAATGAAACTTGAATCGACGAAAGAAGTAAAGCAGCCCTGTTTCTAGTTAGTCAAAACGACACCGAAATAAAAGTCAACTGCTGGATTGATTGGGCTCAGTTTTATTTTCGATCCGCCAAATTAAACAGGCCCAACTTGTTCCTCTTCACGCTGCGTTTTAGTAACTCAGTTCCCTTCTCCTTTCTTCCAACAAATCGATCAAACCCTGTTCTGCATAACACTCAAAGGCACACTAGATCAAGAATATCAATGAAAACTGGAAATAGACAGAGCACAGCAGAAAAGTAAATAATACGCGTGACACAGTATTTTTACGTGGTATCCGATACTGATAAATTCAGTATCGACTAATCCACGGTCAAAGGTACTCCTCTTGAGTCCTTTGACGTAATACTATGATCTTCGGTTTATGGTTACACTATTACAACTTTTGATCCCAAGATGACTCCCTGTCACTCTGATCAGAATCGCCCAGAACTTACAGCTCCCTGCTGTTGTTCAACTCGATCAATCTAATTCCCACAAGCTCTCTCCCCGACAGCTCTTTTCTTCTCTAATCAAAACCTCAACAATACCCTTTGCCTCTGTTTTGAATTGTTGTGAGAAGAACACCCTCTGCCTAACCTCAATCACTCTTTATATACATACATTCATTTAGCCGTTGATGATTTGCTGCCTTTACATCAGTTGATTTTGATTTGATCTTGATTAGTTCCTTCCATAATTGGCTCTCGAAAATCAGCCTTTCCCTTTTGATCAAATTCTTCTACTTTCCTTAGTTTGAGCCTACACAAGCTTGCCCATCTTCTTCCAACATTCTCCCCCTAAGCTTGTCAGTGGCTCAACTCAGCAACCTGCACACATCTAACAAACAGTGGGTGCAGCCTGTTCCAAAAGAAATTAAACTAACACAACTTCATTTATTCATAGAAATCTTGTCTTTTATTCATCTTTCTCAAATTTCTAGATCAAAGCAAAATCCTCGACACTAACTCAACCATTACATCAGACCATCGCACACTTACACTCAGTTCCTAGACCTTAGACACTTCTGGTTGACTCTCTTCTAGAAAGGATAATTTGGAGGCGAGACATAGCTTGAGACTCGATCATCCTCATCCCCAGAGTGAGAATCAGGACTGATTGGATCACTGATTTGATTAGATTCATAGATAAATTTTGGTAACATCAAATCTTTTTCAATCAGCATCCTCCTTTTTGGGCCGCTCTTGGCACTGGCCTCTTGCTTGTATGCTGCAGCTGCTGCATTGACCAAGGCCGAAGAGACCATTTGTTGCTGACTGGCCACTCCCCCTGAGCCAGTGACAGGCTTACGGGGGCCAACTAAGGCATCCACACGTTCGAGAACATGTTGAGGACGCAAGTCATCGAGCACATCACACACAATGACTTTGTCACGCAAATCAATTCCCAAACGGTACAGGAGACGAGTGATTTGAGGACCGAATGGCAGTGGACCACTATAGTACTCAGACCCAAATTTGATCATATGGTGGAACATGAGAGAAGCGTAGCTAATACGACGACCAGCCCGCGCATTAAAGAGCACCCAGAGATCGGAAGAATGAATAAGATCTGTGCTGGCGAGATCACGAGGTAGAAACCATCGAGTGAGAAAGAAAAACAAGACCTTAAGGTCGTCTGGTAGTCTCCCAGCAGCAAGTGGAGAAGCGAACCATCGTCCTATATCACGCGTCAGAGAAGAAAGGGCGTGATCAAATTGGAAGCCAAAATGTTGGAATTCACTATCCGTGCCAGCCCTAATCCCAGCATGAGGTATATCCAGCACTGATGCCAGCATCTCAGGGGTCACTTTGATCTCATAATCATATACGAGAGTAGTGAAGAAGGAAGGGTCACTTCCAGGACCCCTGCGAAGATTGACATAGAAGAGACGTACAGCCTCAGGGCATTGACTGAACCTCAGGTCAGACACCAGAGATTCCCATCCTAGCTTATGGAGATAGGCAGGAATATTCATGTCATATTTGGAGAAAGCAGCCGGCTGAATGGAGAATGATGGATGGAGAGGTCGATCGCGGAAGCGACGAAGGTATCGAGAGTATGTGGCAGCATTCCTAAAGCTCTGATTTTTGAACAGAACAGAGGACTTCAGCTGAGCATTGGAGGATGCCATGGTAAAGAAAAGTGTTTGGATTCTGTTTCTGCTCAAAGTAAGGCAAGAGGCAGTAAGAGGGAGTGGAGAAGACGAAGGAATGTGCCTAGGGTTATAAGGAGATGAGAACCATTGAATCTGGAGAGACTCTTGGAGTTGTAAGGAAAGAATCATCGAATCCAAGATAAACAAGGCAAGAAAATATGTTATATTCGATTAAATTTTGTTAATTTCTTCTTGATTAAACATACCAAGTTCATGTCGAATTGGTAAGAATTTATCAGCATTTAAGGGTTTTGTAAAAATATCCGCCCATTGCATCTCTGTATTAATGAATTCTAGGTGAATTTTCCCATCTTGAACGAGATCACGAATAAAGTGATACCGGACCTCAATATGTTTAGTTCTCGAGTGTTGAATAGGATTTTTAGTCATATTTATCGCACTCGTGTTATCACACAATAATGGAAGAGATCCTATACTAAGACCATAGTCCTGGAGCTGGTACTTCAACCATAACAGTTGAGTACAACCTAGCCCTGCTGCAATATATTCTGCCTCGGCAGTTGATAGAGCAACAGAGCTCTGTTTCTTACTAGCCCAGGAAACTAGAGACGTGCCAAGAAAATGGCACGTTCCAGAGGTACTTTTCCTATCAGCCACACAGCCAGCATAATCAGAGTCACTGTATCCTAATAATTCAAGACTAGACTCACATGAATACCACAGTCCAAGTGAACTAGTACCAGAAAGATAACGAAAGATACGTTTTACTGCAGTTAAGTGGCTAAGTTTAGGATTACTCTGAAATCTAGCACAAGCACACACACTATACATAATATCAGGCCTGCTGGCAGTCAAATAAAGCAAAGAACCAATCATTCCACGATATAACTTGTCATTAACAGATTCTCCTGATTCATCCAATGAAAGTTTTACTGTGGAACCCATTGGTGTAACTGCAGATTTCAAGTTCTTTAGATCAAATCGTTCAAGCATATTATTTAAGTACTTTGTCTGACTTATAAATGTTCCTTTGCTAGTTTGCTGTATTTGCAGACCTAGGAAGTATGTTAGTTCCCCCATTAAACTCATCTCAAACGCCCCTTTCATAGCTTTCTCAAACTGTTTGCACATTTCTTGATCAGATGACCCAAAAATTATATCGTCTACATACACTTGAACAAGCATAGTGTGACCATTTAGACGTTTAATGAATAAAGTTTTATCCACTGACCCTCTTCGAAAACCATCAAGCATTAGGAAATTACTTAGCTTATCATACCAAGCTCTGGGAGCTTGCTTTAAGCCATATAAAGCCTTGTTAAGTTTGTATACATGGTTAGGAAACTTGTGATTTTCAAACCCAGGAGGTTGAGCTACATAAACTTCTTCTTTTAAATCACCATTAAGAAAAGCACTTTTGACATCCATTTGATAAAGTCTGAAATTTTGAGAAGCAGCATATGCACACAGCAGTCTAATGGCTTCTAATCTAGCCACAGGAGCAAAAGACTCATCAAAATCAATTCCTTCTTCCTGATCATACCCCTGTGCTACTAGTCTAGACTTATTCTTAGTTATGTCACCAATTTCATCAGTTTTGTTTTTATAAACCCACTTAGTTCCAATTATAGGTTTATCCTCAGGTTTTGGAACCAATTCCCATACATTCAGTCTCTCAAAATATCCTATTTCATCTTGCATAGAGGCTGTCCAGAATTCATCATTCAGAGCCTCCTTGACATTTTTGGGTACTAGAAGAGACACAAAAGCAGTTTGTATAGAGGATGATCTAGAACGAGTTAACATACCTTCTTTCAGATCACCAATGACCTGAGATGAAGGATGCCTTCTTTGAATGTGCAAGGGTGCTGCTATTACTCTGTTCTCGTCAATCTCAGATGTATGCTCTTTGGCCTGAGGTTCTTGTGAACTTTCTTTCCTCAGCTCCTCTTCAGCTTGGTCTGCCTGGCTTAATTTGTATGATCTTCCCAGCCCAAGATCATCATCTTCATCAATTTGATCTGCACACTTACTGGCAGAATCATCAAATACCACGTTTATGGACTCCTCAACCTTGAGGGTCCGTTTGTTATATACTCTGAAGGCCTTACTATGAACTGAATACCCCAGGAAGATTGCTTCATCAGACTTGGAGTCAAATTTTCCTAAGTTATCTTTGGTATTCAGAACAAAACACCTACATCCGAATGGATGAAAGTATCCCACATTTGGTTTTCTGTTTTTCCACAACTCATATGGTGTTTTATTTAGTTTAGACCTAATTAACCCTCTGTTAATAATATAGCATGCAGTGTTTATGGCTTCTGCCCAAAAATATTTTGGCAGACCATAATCATTCAACATTGTCCTAGCTATATCTATTAGAGTACGATTTTTCCTCTCTACTACTCCATTTTGCTGTGGAGTTCTAGGGGCAGAGAAATTATGAAAGATCCCAGTTTCATCACAAAACTTATCAAAACTGTCAGATATGAACTCTCCCCCGTGGTCACTTCTTATACTTACAATTCTGGTTCCCTTTTCATTTTCTAGTCGTTTAATCAGGTTTTTAAATTGCACAAATGTCTCACCTTTGTTTGATAGAAATAGAACCCATGTAAACCTAGAGTAATCGTCTACTACAACACAAGCATAGTATTTTCCACCAAGACTCATAACATTACTAGGACCAAAGAGATCCAGATGAAGCAATTCTAGTGGTTTAGATGTAGAGATTACAGGTTTACTTTTAAAGGTGGATCTGACCTGTTTACCTCTTGTGCATGCTTCACAAAAGAATTCCTTTCTACTGCTGAGTTTAGGTATTCCAGTTACACTTCCCAAACTAACTAGTTTAGCTAAAGACCCTACACTGATATGACCCATCTTCCTATGCCATTCTAGTTGTTCATCCTTGTCTACAGTTACCAAACACATCTCATTGAATTCGTTTTTATTATTCAGATTTATGCAGAATAATTTTCCTTTCCTTCTACCTGTAAACAATATTTTTCCGCTCTCAATATTCTCAACATAGCATTTATTAGGTTCGAAAATTACTCTATTTGTTTCTCCACACATTTGACTGATTGAGAACAAGTTATGCTTAAGCCCATCAACCCACATTACGTTAGTTATAGTTGGTCCTAATCCAATTTCTCCTTTTCCTAAGACATCAGTGCAATAGTTATCCCCAAAGTAAACCTTACCTTTCTTACCCTTAACCAATTTAGAAAAGAGTTTTTCATTTCCTGTCATGTGGTGTGAGCAGCCACTGTCCAGGATCCATTCGCTGTCTTCCATGCTCACTTGGAAACAGACCTGGACACAGAAACGTTTTATTTGGTTTTAGGTATCCATACCAATTTGGATACTCTACCTTCTATCTTAGCATTAGTGCAGTTATAGCTCATATGTCCCATAGTATGACAAGCAAAACACACTGTTTCTTTTAGCCTAGTTTCTTTAGCAATTCGTTTCTGACAGTGTGAAATGTAGTGTCCTAGACCATGGCAGTAGAAGCACTCAGGAGTTGAACGTTTATAGTTTGTTTTTGTTTCTAATGGCCTTTTATGTTTTGTTCGCAGGTGATTATTATTTTTCTGACCTTTAGAGATTTCTTTTTCTAGTACAGCATTTCTTCTTAAGACTTCTTCCAATCTTCTATCTGATTCTAGTTTTTCTCTTTTCAGTTCATTGTACTTCTTAGATAGCTCCTCAAATTCCGATTTCATTTTAACATGTTTTGATTTAATTCGTGCAAAATCTAACTGAATATCCCTGATAGTTTCTATCAATTGTCCATCATCATCATATGAATCAGAGTAATAATTAAGATTACTTACCTGTGAAGCTTCCACATCATCTTCACTTTCATCCAGAGCCATGTAAGCTTCATATTTGGGGTCGATTTCCTCTTCTTCATCCTCACTGCAGCTCCAGGTGGCCGTGTATGCTTTCTCCCGTTTCATTTGTGGACACTCTGCTTTGATGTGTCCACTTCTTCCACATTTGAAGCATCCAGCTGACGATCCACCCTTATTGTCATTGCTGCTGAATTCTCGTCTAACTCTAGGATTGGCCCTAAAAGTTTTCCCTTGCTCCTTTTCTGAATCAGCTTCTCTAGTACGATTGGGAAAACCTCCTTTTCTTTTCTCTTTGCGTAGTCTGAGTAACTTGGCTACATGCTTACTCAACATGGCCAATTCTTCATCTTCCATGTCATCCAGACAATCAAACTCTTCTTCTGGTGCTGACGCCTTGAACGCAATACTCTTCCTTTCTTTCCGATTTTCCTCTCCTTCTTCTCTCCTGAGTTTTTCTTCGTGTGTTATTAATGAACCCATGAGTTCATCTAAGCTCAGCGTCGTCAAATCCTTTGACTCTTCGATTGCGGTAACCTTAGGAGTCCACCGTTTTGGAAGAGCCCAAAGAACTTTCCTCACCAGATCTCCGCTGCCATATTCTACACCCAGATTCCTCAAACTATTTACTATAGTGGTGAACCTGTCGTGCATTTCCTTGATGGTTTCTTCTGGCTTCATCACAAAGGATTCGAAATCCTGCTTCAATCGATTTATTCTGGATACTTTGACATGACTGGTGCCTTCATGAGCCACTTGCAACTTATCCCAGATCTCCTTCGCAGTTTTGCATCCGGAGACCCGATGATATTCTTCCGGCCCCAACGCGCAATACATGAGGTTTGTCGCTTTTGAATTCAGTTGGAAGTTTCGCTTATCTTCGTCGGACCATTTGCCTCGTGCCTCCTTCACTTCAAGCGGTCCATCCAGCACAATACTCCAGAGATCAGGATCGGTCGATCCTATGAACAGCTCCATGCGATTGCGCCAGTAGCCATAGTGCACTCCTTCGAATCTTGGCGGCCTAGTCTGAGAAAATCCGTCGGCCATGAACACTCCTCCATTGCTCGCACTCGAACTCATTTCCTCCGCAGGCAGTTACTCCTTGTTCGCCGGAGCCGGGCTCTGATACCACGTGTTAGTGGAGTCGAGCGCGAGACTCAGGCAGCAATTTCCTTGTTCGATCGATCGGTTGTACCCTGAAAACCCTAGCTGCGATTTTGGTAGAATCAAGTGAAAGAGGGTGAAGTGAAATGAAACTTGAATCGACGAAAGAAGTAAAGCAGCCCTGTTTCTAGTTAGTCAAAACGACACCGAAATAAAAGTCAACTGCTGGATTGATTGGGCTCAGTTTTATTTTCGATCCGCCAAATTAAACAGGCCCAACTTGTTCCTCTTCACGCTGCGTTTTAGTAACTCAGTTCCCTTCTCCTTTCTTCCAACAAATCGATCAAACCCTGTTCTGCATAACACTCAAAGGCACACTAGATCAAGAATATCAATGAAAACTGGAAATAGACAGAGCACAGCAGAAAAGTAAATAATACGCGTGACACAGTATTTTTACGTGGTATCCGATACTGATAAATTCAGTATCGACTAATCCACGGTCAAAGGTACTCCTCTTGAGTCCTTTGACGTAATACTATGATCTTCGGTTTATGGTTACACTATTACAACTTTTGATCCCAAGATGACTCCCTGTCACTCTGATCAGAATCGCCCAGAACTTACAGCTCCCTGCTGTTGTTCAACTCGATCAATCTAATTCCCACAAGCTCTCTCCCCGACAGCTCTTTTCTTCTCTAATCAAAACCTCAACAATACCCTTTGCCTCTGTTTTGAATTGTTGTGAGAAGAACACCCTCTGCCTAACCTCAATCACTCTTTATATACATACATTCATTTAGCCGTTGATGATTTGCTGCCTTTACATCAGTTGATTTTGATTTGATCTTGATTAGTTCCTTCCATAATTGGCTCTCGAAAATCAGCCTTTCCCTTCTGATCAAATTCTTCTACTTTCCTTAGTTTGAGCCTACACAAGCTTGCCCATCTTCTTCCAACAGAAATTCGCCACGCGTGATCCGAAACGCAACTTGCGCGTCAACGAGCTTGACGTCTACGTTTCCCATTACTAGTTTGGTTTACGTAGCTTTATTTGCTACAGAAATTCGTTACTGTTTGTTGCTGCTGCTATTGTTGTTTTTTTTTTATGCTTTTTCGATATTTTCATTCCATGAAGGTGTGTGTAACAGTTTATGTGTGTGCTTATTTATTTAATTTTCATTATTACTAATTAATCAATAAAATGACGTTATATTGTTTTTCAGCAAAGATGTACATGTTGGATACCTTGATATCATGCACAACATCCAACTAGGTGCTCGACCTGATACTTCGTTATCTCTCAAGCATCGTCGCACCAAAGAACACAACATTGTTGCATTCTATAAGCATGAAGACCCCAAGCCCAGTATGCAAAGCAAGATACTGTGACAAGCCGTCATACAATACGCTAGGGTTGACTATTTGGTCCGGACTGTTTGGTTTTACTCGAAATTGGACCGTATAACCCGGACCGGAACCGGATAGGAAACAATCCAATTTCATGTTTGGGCTTAGATTTGAGGTCAAAAAACCGTTCGGGACCGGATCGAAAACCGGATAAGAGACCCCCAACACCCAAAACTTAACCAACTCCTCACCCTTTGAGGCCTCAGGCCACTCAAATCCCCACAAGCTCAATCTAAAATCAAGACCAAATTGGGACTAGACCGAGTCAAGACCAGACTGTATCCAATCCAATCTTTGGTCCTTATATTCCGAAAAGACCGGATCGGGACCGGATCAATTATCACCAATCTAACCGGACCGGACTGTATAGCCACCCCTACAATACACCCTCTAAGACATAGGTTGCAACCTGTCAAGTAATTAATATGACAATTGGAGGAGTGGTTATAAGACAGTTACTCTTTTATGGTTATAAATAAAAGAAAATAAGATCGAAAAAGCTTTCAACTTCGACACGCATGCATGTCAAGTTTTGTTCTTTCTCTACAAAGTAGCAATAGGAGTGGTGTCTGGAGCTCTCTCACTTAACTACCGTAGGATTCCGTAGTTTATATCAATATGCATGATACAGGCTGGTGCTAAGTTTTGAGAAGTTCAATCACCTTTCTCATTAAATCAGAACCTTATTTATGTTGTTTCAACATCTATGGTTATTTGTTCGATCGAGGAGACAATTAATGGTTCGGAGTTTCATTTTGGAAATTCGAAATAGACAATAATGTATTCAAATTAGGATGACATTTAGTAATTGTACCACTCCTAGGGTCGGGCAATTGGTTCCGGAGAATTAATACAAACCGCCAGGTGAGCTCCATCATCCATCACTAGTTCACAACCCAATCAACTTTATCATGATTTCCAATATTCGCCCATCTATATAAGAATAAATAAATAAAAATATTCGCCCATCTATATATTTTTTTATTTATTGCCATTGTACTTTTGCCGGCCAGGCTTAAAACTTTTAACTTTAAGGGACCTCGGCTTTGTGTCTCCTTTGTAATGATTATGATCGAACAATTATTTCGTTGACATGTAGTGGCATTCGCGGCCGGCCGGTTTATACTATTAAGGGAAGCCCTAGGAGATGGATCAATACTAGGGATATAAAAAATACCCACAATTACCCTTTCTTCTTTTGTGTGAGAATGACAATTGAACACAAATTTTATACTCTTTATGAGTTTTGTAACGCGAGCGAACGAATTTCATTTGCTTTTGTACTTGACATGTTGGGTCGAGTGTAAATTTTGTAAAAAACACGGTTCAACGCTGTCAAAGCAAGTTGCAATTGAACCCAAACCCGTGTGAGTTTTTGTATCGAGAACTAGTTGTATCGACTTTTGTAATTGCCAGGTTGGATAGAGTGTGGATTTTAAAAAATAAATAGTGTTGATTTTATGATTTTATATGTAACTTGTGTTGCGCGTAGGGAAACAATTCATTGTTACATTGAACCGCGGTGTATATATGTAAAGACAATCCAAAAAGCGGGAGATTAGGATTTCTTCGCCCCTTCAGATTTTTGTGTGTTGTTGAGATGTGATGTTGCCGGCGGCCCCGATTATACCTTTCCCTTTAAGGGAAACAATAAGCTGCAGGACACTTAGATATCTCACTTTCTATATATAAGAGATCATCACAAAATGAACACACAAAAGACAATAACAAGATAAATAAATGGGAACAATTCCTTCGCTTGGGTGTATTTATTATTCGTCCAAAAATTGAAGCAAAACCTTATATGGCACTAAATTATTTACGTGGAAGAGTTCTATCAATATATGATGTGGTTATTATTTGAAGATAGATTATTTGTAATTTATATCTTCTCTAGTATAGTGAAACCGCTCTTTGCTATTGATAAAGGTAGAAAACCCATCATATTAGTAAATTGCGTAAAATTTTTGTGTTCTTTACTTTCTCGCACCGTTGATTTCTCATTCCGTTGTAAAACATCATTTAGAGAGTTCTTACGAAATGGGTGACTACATTGAATACATCCAAGTGCAGGAATAATATACTGCATATAGGATAGACAGGGACAGACCCAGAGATCCAAGTGACTCTTTTATTCAAATCTCAACCCGTTACCATCATTGCACTATAAAAAAAAAACACAGCATTTAACGAAAGGAAGAGTAAAAGGATTTCTACATTACCCTTCATCAAATTGATCACCATAATGCGGAGGTGGCAGCTGCTCATCATCCCCTCAAAATTACGAGTTGTTGCAGCCTTGGTAATAATTCTGGCTCCTGATCCCTCGATTCAGTCTTACACGGAGTATGTTCACAATGAGCTGAGTGGCAATAAGAAGCTGATAGTGCATTGTCGATCCAAAGACGACGACATTGGAGCTCAAATCGTGGATGTAGGCTCTGATCTGCACTGGGATTTCTTTGGTGGCGACAGAACACTCTTTTGGTGCAAGCTGGCGGTGGAAGATCGACGACTCTCTTTCGACGCATATACTAATTCAGATGCATATGGCTCTATTTGTTGTCGTGATATTCACTGGTCCGTGAGGGACGACGGGCTTCATCTTTTGGATTCGGATGGCCAAGAATTGAAGTCCCATCGACAGGGATGGAACCATCCGTAGCTCTAATTACATGCCTATACCTTATTGTTTCATGTACCATTTATCGACGGGGGATGTTGTTCCTTCTTTTAGTAAAAGCCACATTGATATGGTTGTTACGAGAAAGAGTCTGCTTCATACGGTGGATCCAAGCCTTCACTTGCCATACATGGCCAAGAACTGCTCCGGTTGAGAAGAATGTTGATGATGATTTGACAATCGGAGAAAGATAATTGTTGGACACACAGAGTTTGCGCTGCAATAAATAGAGTGTGTATGGTTTTAATTTTCTACCCAATTATTATTTGAATATCTGTAGAATAAAACGTGACATATTTCAGTCCGAGTAATGGATATGCACTATCTCGTCAACCCTGCCAACAATAAAATGGCTCATCATCAACCTAAAGAAAACGTACAGGAATACATTACTATAGAACAAAGACTATTAGTTAAAAACAAAACAATTTAATGAAAAATATTTGCAAAGGCAAAGCCTATACGCCTATATTTACACTTCTTAGTCGTTTTTAGTATATTTCGAAGAATCAAAACGGTTGGTTTTTATGTGATGGAAGCTTGTGATTGCATATGGAAGAAGAAGCAAAGTGGGTTCCTGAATGTGGACGAGATCGGCAGAGCAGATGCAGGAGGCGGCGGGTTAAGTTTGAATAGGAATTGAGGCATTGGTTACGATTCTCGATGGGTTTAGGTTAGAAGAAAAATAAGTGATGAATAGGTGAAGATGAAGGGAAATTATGAAATTTTGATTAAATGTGAGTTTTTAATGCATCCATAAACAAACGCGTAATTTCACATAAATCCTACAAATAAAATACATGGGTTTTTTATTTGAGAGATTTGGTCCCAAAAACCCTCATACTACTATCCCAAATCCAAACGGGGCCTCTAATGTTTTCACAATATATAGCTACACACAACACAAGTAACCTTAGTTCAAATATTGAAGGAGGGTTGTAGGTTGTAGCCCCTTCCTAGGTCAAAAGAAAGGGCATTACGTGTTTACACCGAGAATTTAACCTAATTCGACATTGCTTGGTTATAATGAATCAAACGGCTATATAAAACCAGCTCATCATTAACATTTAAATGGTTTGAGAAGTGCCTTGGGTGATCAGGCTTTTTATATTTGGATATTTGGCTACTGTTTGATATAGCATTAGTTTCGCATTTTTCAACAACTTGAATTATTAAATAACTCAGTAGATCGATCGCTAAGTGTGGTGTAGAGAGCTGTAAAGTGCACACGATGCGGCAAAAAGATAAATCGCACATGAGATGACGAATAATCAACCGTGGATAATTTCCATTGAGTTGATATAGTTGTGGTATAACAAGAACATCCACCACGCCATAAGTTTGAAAGAAGAAAAGAAAACAAAAAAAAAAAAAAAGAAAGGAAGAAGTATGGATTGGGGAGCTAGAGGTGTTTCCACTCCCGTCGATAGGATTCGATTTCTCCCTCCGGGTAAACTAGATCATTGTCCGACTGTTGATATGCGTCGAAGAAAAGACGTTTATCTTCCACTGCCAATTTGCACCAAAACAGTGTCGACCCAAAATCCGCATAGAAATCCCAGTGCAAATCAGAGCCTACATCCACGATGTGAGCTCCAATATCGTCGTCTTTGGATCGACAATGAACTATCAGTTTTTTTTATTATTTAGCTCTCATCTCATTTTTGACAGAAACCGGACTCTGGATCGAGGGACGTGCTAGAATTATCAAAGCCACGACGACCACCACCACAGCCGGTTGTAATTTTGAGGGGATTAGCTGCAGCCTCCACATCCTGATCAATGTGATGAAGAAGAAGCAGAATGTAGGAATGAATTCTTCTACTCTTTTTCTCTCTATACGTTATTGCTTTCCTTTTCCTATAGTTTTTTTTTTTTTCTTTTTCTTTTAATAGTGCAATGATGTGTAGAAGCCGCACGGCTCTGGAGGGGCAGACAGCTTTATGGACCTCTGGCTTTGTCTCTCCTGTATACATCATATGATTCCTTCGCACATCTTATTTGTTTTGTTTGAGATGTATGTACTACGTTCGTTCAGACTTTCGGCGAAATCGTCAGAGAGAATAATGTGCTGCACAAGGTTTGAAAGAAAGAAAAAACGCGTCAATTTTCCATGTACGTTATCACAAAATTACAGTCAATCGCGCGCTAGGGGGAATACATCCACTAAAATTAACCCGCAATTGACCCATCCAATATGTTGTGGGCGGTTCTTAATTCTTATAGATCGATGAATGTGGGTTGTAAAATATGTGATCCGCTAAAGAATGGATGAATGTAAGTGGACTATAGTTATAGACTCACAGTAAACTTAACTTTTTAATCTCAAACTAGAACGGAAGTCCGCGCTATGTGGCAGGGCATGAAATTATTGCAACATGAATATTGATCAAACGACAAACTGCTAACATATTCTTCGTTCTTGAATTAGAAGTACAACACAACTTAAACATGAATGTGAGGGATGCACATAGAGAAGACAATTGGAACTCGAAAGGCAAGATTGATGGATAGAGATAAATGTAGCATCGGTAGAAGCTAAGAGCCTTAACACCATATGGTACACATGGCAAGGCCTCACGATCAAAAGTGAGTAAAGGGTAGCTAGTTTAGACTAACAGGAGAGTAGTGGTTTAAAAGTTTGTGTGTGCTTAGATTGCGGGGATTCGAATGTGTGGTTCATCATAGTCTGGGCTCGCAATGTATATTTCTTGCCATAAATTGTCTGCCGCATCGATCTCTGAGGCTAGGGGTGGCTATACGGTCCGGTCCGGTTAAATTGGCCCAAATTGATCCGGTCCAGTCCGGTTTTTTTGAAAATATAAGGACCGAAGATTGGATTGGATACAGTCCGGTCTTGATCTGGTCCGGTCTTGACTCGATCCGGTCCCAATTCGATCTTGATTTTATATTGAGATTGTGGGAATTTGAGTGGCCTAAGGCCTAAAAGGGTGAGGAGTTGGTTAAGTTTTGTACTAAGTGTAAAGGTTTGTGACCGTTTATGCAAATTACCCTTAAGTTTTGGGTGTTGAGCTCTCTTATCCGGTCTTTATCCGGTTTTTTACCTCAAATCTAAACCCAAAAATTGGATTGGATTGTTTACTATCCGGTCCCGGTCCGGTCTCGGTCCGGGTTATACGGTCCGGTTTCCGGTTTTTCATCCGGTCCCGGTCCAAATAGCCAGCCCTATCTGAGGCATTGTTTTTGCTGATGTGCAACAACGATTCAAATTCTTTAGGTGCCAGACAAACCAGGGGAAGGTTTGCTTCATGGTTCGTAGTGACTTATAATTTACGACATCCGGATTCACATTAAGCATGCAATTCGTAGAATAATCTAGTGGAATGTAAAAATATATATATATGAGCAAACAAACTACAGTGTACGTAATTAGCTTCACTAGGGAAAATGAAAATCTTGTTTATAGGGTTCAAAAGAACATATCGATGCAAAGTGCTTAAAAGAACCTTCATCTTTTTCCATGACCTGCCGGTGCCCTCTCATCAGCTTGTGATGTCGTCTTACCCTAGCAGCGCTTACCATTATAGAAAAGGGAGCTCAACGGACCCTCTCCGAAATGGCTTGATCCGAGTTGGGTTTGTGGATTAGAAGAAAGGAGAAAGAATATTAGAGGCAACTCACATAGAAAGTGAAAAAGGACATTATAGGATGACTCAAGGATCCATGGGTTCGGATGACCCGCCCATGGATCTGAATCGTGGTAACCAATTGAAAACAACAAAAGATGGAAATCAATAAGTATCATTAGAGAAAATGAAAAATCTGGATATTATAGGCGACAAAAAAACATACCGATGCTAAGGTCAAAATATAAAATAGTACAGTAAACAAAGTACGAATTAGAGCTAGAACAGGTGCTTCCACTCTTTTCGATAGGACTCTATTTCGGTACCATCCGAATTCAGTAGATGAACCCCATCGTCCCTAGCCGCCCAGCGAACATCGCGACAGCGAATATCGGCCTTCTTCCCATTATATGCATCGAAGGAAAGACGTCGATCTTCCACCGCCAACTTGCACCAAAAGAGTGTGCCCTCGTAGGGAGTAAACCCCCAGTGCAATGCAGCGCCTATGTCGACGGCTTGAGCTCCGACATCGTCGTCTTTGGATCGACAATGCACTATCAGCTTCTTGTTGCCACTCAACTCGTTTTCGACATAAACGGTCGACGTACTAAGCTGGGTTGAGGGGTGCGCTGCAATCAATATGATGAAGGCCGCGGCAAGCACCGCCACTCGTGATTTCGAGGGGATTAGCAGCCGCCACATGTTGATCGATCAATTTGATGATGAAGGGTGTGTAGGTTTTGGGTTTGGCTTACTTTATAGTGCAATGAAAATGATGTAGAAGAAGCAACACGGCTATGGCCAGGGGGGGCAAAAGGGACTTCTTTCCTCTCCACGTTCAAAACATGCGCGGACGTGTTAATATTGGAGTAGGAGAGCCTTCTGAACCTCTCTCTCCCTCGTGTATAAATGATTAAATGATTCCTTCGCCCATCTTATTTGTTTGAGCTGTATTGTATTGTAGCTTTCGGTGAAATTGAGGTAATAATAATTTCTTACAAAAAAACATGTCGATTCTTCAGATAGGAGTCAAGGTAAAAGGGAAGCAATTCCTTCCCTTGGACTTCGACGCATATATGTTGGTAGTTCCCTATATGGCCATGGTCTCGTTGCTTCAAAAGGATTCAACCAAAAATTTATATTGAAAAGATATGGTTTATGAGTGTGAATAACTATGGTTAGATACCTTATAGAATGAATTTCTTTCTTTCTTTCTTTATTATTATTACTAGGAAGGAAGCCCGCGCTCTGCGGCGGGGAGATTATATTATGAGATTAGAGAGTTGATAGCGGAAAATCGGAGTAAGTGTGCATATGAATAGTTTCTACGTACATCTCGGATGCATAAGTCTGTTGATGTTGAAGTGCAGGTGTTGCTAAATACTGGATAATATA